CACCAGAGGTTTCTTTATATATTAACTTATTCGTTTATTTGTTTTGGGCAGATTCCACAATTAAGCAAGAGAGTCCCACAGAGTTCTTATTACACTGCCATTATTTAAAGTACCAACACTCCTCCACTTAGACATGAACCTCTGGACTTAGATTGAGGAACAGAATGACCCCAAAACAGCATCTGTCTGTAGTTTCTCATTCACAGCAGTGTCTCGAGATGCAAAAACAGCTTATCTGATGATGCTTTTGATGTTTTTGGTAGATCTGGATGGTGTTCCTAGGCATCTGGCTACATTGTGTGGACCCCAACCTTCTGGGGCCATTCTGTCAATAATCCCACATTATTTCTAAAATGTAATATGTGTGGTCAGAATTTACATTACCTGTCGCACTCTGGCAATGGGCTCATTGTTAGCAGGACAATATGATGTGACCACCTAGAAAGAAAAAAGAAACAGACATATATATCTAGTGAATCCAACTAAAAATAACAGGGAGTAAAACACGTCTCTTACTGAAGGGTCTTCCAGTGATCTGTAATGCTGTTAATTTGACAGAACAAGAGGCACCATTAAAACAATATCCCCCTACTATAATTCTGCTATAACTGCACTGTCATGCTTGCTAAGAACAAGAACAACGACTTTTACACGTTAGGACCTCGAACGCACATGGAGTTTTACGCCTGGCAGCTCATGTAATCATTCATGGATTTGGTTACAGAAGGTGGGCATTTCTGGCACATCCACACTAATATTATCCAGCAGGGGTCGCTACTGCCGCTGCTGCCTACAGATCAGAGAAGGAATGTGATGAAGTGGCCAGCTAGCTTTACAGCTAAAAAGCAAATCTGCTGAATGGCTTTTTCCACATGTTGCACTCAAACATCACCGGCTGTGGCCGAACTGGGCATAGTTCCAGTCTCAGTTGGACAGCTGGACTGGTGTGGACAAGAGGTTTAAGAGAGACAGACAGATAATTTAGCATGTTAAGCTACCAACCTGATAGCTACTGCGAGCTAAGTTAGCTCTTCATGAAGCTTAAATGGTCACCACATGACTGAAAAACGATCAAAAATATTTGATTTTACACGGATATTCCTCAGTCCTGGAAAGCCTGACCAGCTTCTGCAGCCAGTTAGCTACACTTTAATATTTTTATGAAAATTAACACAGCTTACAAAGACTTAGTGCATGAGGCTGAAGTCAGCTTCTTGGTCGAATTATCCGTTCCACCTTAAAAGCAGTTGGGGCAGCAGTAACGTTGCATCAAGACGTCACAATCCAGCGTGTAAAAGCTGCACTATTTAAGGTGGAACGGGAAAATTCGGAGAAGAAGCTGGCTAATAGGAAACTGACTCCAGCTTCGTAAGCAGTGACAACATTTAATATTTATGACAAGAATAAGCAAAGCCCCGAGATGGTGTGTACTTAAATACTGAGATATCTCATTAATAACGATACCTGTTAGCTAAGTTAGATGTTACACGACAGTAGTGCTGGCACTAACTTCACCTGCACCATCACGTTAGCAGACGGATGCTGCCGTTTGCTAACGTGACAGCAGTACCATGTAGGCAAATTTTCAGCCCAGGAGCTGCCAGCTGTGTCGGCGTGGATCCAAGTCGTCAGTCAGTGAACTAACCTGTGCCTTCACAGTGACACCGCCAGTGGTGGGCCTCATCGAGTAAAAGCGCCTTCGGCGTCCATCCCTTTCACCCCATAGGTTATATATTTAGAAGTCTTGCGGATGCCATGCGGTTAATCTCTTTCTCGGCTTACCTCTCCTGTGCCTCCCCAGGTGCCGTTGTAAACACCGTTGTTGTCTTCGCTCAGGCCCAGTTCTTTCAGCCAGGCGTATTTGGGCTGGTTGATGAGGAGTGTGGACATGGCTGCAGACGGCAGAAAGCGGACAGAGTGGACTCTGGCTGTGAGTGCAGAGTGCCGGAGCGCGGAGAAAAGCACAGCGCGCTGCATGGTGGACTGGAGTGGAGCAGCGCGTGTGCGCGGGTGGCCGTAGGATGGCCAGAGCCGCCTCTGATTGGCTGAGTGCCCTCCCGCCCCCTTCACCCGCGACCAAAATAAAGCGCTCGAGCCTGAATTGTCTGTTATTACTGAAACTGAGATTGAATAATGTTTTATATGTTTTAGTTTATTGTTAAGCTGAATTGCTTCCAGCCCAAATAATTGAAACAACTCTTCAGTTATAAGTTATTATTTGTTGCCAAACTAATCGTATTGTATTAAAAGTTTGCTTTTACTTGTTGTTCATTTAAGGCAATAACAGTTATCAAAATGAAGTTTGAAACCCTGAAAATTATTTTATTTTTTTGTAAAAAATGAAGGGTTTAAAATGCTGTGAATGAAGCATGTTTTATATTGTTACATACAATACTGCACTGTTACTGACGCCGGCTGGGTTTCCCGAAAACATCAGATGGTAGAGCTTAAGGGGACACTCCATCAATTTTTCAAAAAATTCCACATAATGAAATGGTTGAGATGTAAACTAAGTCATTCAGAGAGGTTTGATGTAAAATATTCATTGTAGAGGAGCGAGTCAGAATTGTTCACAGTTGTAGTAGGAACCAGACGTCTGAAGAGTTTAACATGCCTCTAAAAGCTCCATCACAGAAATTATTACATGAAATGGTTTGATATATACTGCCTTATGATACATTGTTTTATGAAAGTTTTGTGATAAAGCTGTGACTTAAAATCTATTTGAGTAAATGTACTTAAATCCTTTATACTTTAATAGTCCCCAAAGACAACATTTTTCAGATTTTATGACTATTTTACCATCATTAACCTCACTTGTAGCTTCACTCTTGGTTTGTATATATATTAACCCCATGTTTACCACTGTGTTTCATCACCTCCTCTTTTAACAACACTCTGAAAGCGTTTGGGAACTGAGGAGACACTGCTGTAGTTTTGAAAGTGAAATGTTTTCCCATTCTTGTTTGATACAGGATTTCAGCTGCTCATCAGTTCAGGGTCTCCTTTGTTGTATTTTTCATTTCATAATATGCCAAATGTTTTCAGTGGTGACAGGTCTGGACTGCAGGCAGGCCAGTTTAGCGCCTGGACTCTTTTAGTACAGAGCAATGCTGTTGTAATACATGCAGAATGTGGTTTGACGTCTTACTGAAATATCAAGGCCTTCCCTGAAAAAGACGTCATCTGGATGGCAGCATATGTTGCTAAAACATGTATATATCATTCAGCAGTAATAGTGCCTTCACAGATGTGAACGTCACCCATGCCATCTCCACTAATGCACCCCTATACCATCATGGATACTGGCTTTTGACGTGTGCACTGATAACAAGCTGAGTGGTCTTTAGCCCAGAGAACACAGCATCCATGATTTACAAAAAGAATTTTAAATGTTGATTTGTCAGACCACAGAACACTTTTCCACTTCCCCTCAGTCCATTTTAAATGAGCTTGGGCCCAGAGAAAGTGGCAGCATTTCTGGATCCTGTTTATTTATAGTTTCCTCTTAGTTTAGACTTGCATTTGTGGATGCAGTGACGGACTGTTTTCATAGACAGTGTTTTTCAGAAGTGTTTCTGAACACATGCAGTGATTTTCTCTACAGAATCATGTCTGTTTTTAATGCAGTGCCACCTGAGGGCCTGAAGATCACAGCCAGCCAGTACTGGTTTTCAGCCTTGTCCCTTGTATACAGAGATTTCTCTGGATTCTCTGAATCTTTTAATGTTCTTATGTACTGTAGACGATGAAAAACAAAAGTTCTTTGCTATTTTATCTTGAGAAACATTATTCTTGAATTGTTGCACTATTTGATCGTGCAGTCTTTCAGAGTGGTGAACTCCTCCTCATCTCTCTGGGATGCTCTTTTTATATCCAATCATGTTACTGACCTGTTGCCAATTAAGCACCAGGTGTTTTTTTAGCGTTACACAACTTTATCAGTCTTTTGTTGCACCCGTCACAACTTTTTTGGAAAGTGTTGTCGGCATACAAAATTGGGATATATTTTATATATATATATATATATATATATATATATATATATCTCAGTTTCAACATTTGATATGTTGTCTTTGTATTGTTTTCAATTAAATATAGGGTTTAAATGATTAGCACATCATTGCATTTTGTTTTTGTTTACATTTTGCACAGTGTCCCAACTTTTTTTGGAAATGGGGTTAATAAAATAAATAAAAGGTCTGTATGTGTATTGTATTTGTATTTGTATTGTGACCGCTGGTTCCTATCACCAAATCTGTCTGTTAAGTTTCTCTACATTGGACTATTTCACACCAAACCACTCTGAATGATTCTGTTTATATCCCAAGGACTGAAGTATTCAGAAATCGGTGGAATTCCCGTTTAAGGATACATATGAATTATGAATAAGAATGAAGTCCAGAGTAATTGACAATAGCTGAATATGAATGATGTTTTAAAATATTGTTAAATTTAGTCAAAGTACTAAATTGTCATAAGTGCTTAGTTTAAGTTTATCATAAAGCTGCCGAAACAAGACAATGAATGAACTCGTGTGAATCTTTGTGACTGGGAACCGAAAAACTGTGTAGCCGAAGCAGAGTGGCGCAGCGGAAGCGTGCTGGGCCCATAACCCAGAGGTCGATGGATCGAAACCATCCTCTGCTAATGCTTTTCACTCAGTTTTGTGTGTCTTCATAGTTTCAGCAACGTTAATTTAAATATAAATGGTGAATATCGTGTCAAAATATGTATCTAATTAAGCAATAAGGTCTTTTCTCCTACAGAAATACTAACAGTTTTTAAGAAGTATATTAAAACATACGAAAAAAAAAACAAATAACAAAATAAACATACGATCCCTCAGTTAAAGTTAGGATTAATTTAAGTTGAATTCGTGTTAGTTTCAATGCTAACTGTCTCGTTTGTGTGTTTTTGTTGTGCTAAAGAAGCGAATCTATTCCAATAAGCAGACGCGCTGATGACGTCGCGCTTGTGTCACTGCGCCAAAGTTCCGAGTGGGAGAAATGGCGGGTGATAGCAACAGAGACACAATGGAGGATCTGGAGGATGGAGAGCTCAGCGGCTCCGATTCAGAGCCCGCAGTGCTGGCAGCTTCAGACCGCGGACACCAGGTAAAGCAGGCGAGTCTTTGTGGTCCTCTAGAGCTGAGTTTAGTGCGCTGAATCGGCTAATATCAGCGTCACGTTGCTAGCTTACCTACTACTTCACCTCAGTGACTTAACGCTAATTAACGTTAACACAACGTTAGTTAGCTGTGCGACTTGTCCATTCTATAAACGTAACGTTACTGAAGTAGCTCGCTGTGTCTGCGTGTGCTGTGATGGACATAGGCGTGTTTCTCTGCTTTGTGCTTTGTGCTTTATGCAGTACTCTAAGCAGTGTGTAAGTCATTTTCCATGTTTCCAAGTTGCTTTGCAAAGTCTGTGTGGTTGAAACTGCAATCCTGTCTTGTCAAAAGCTATAGCTTAGCTAAGTCACGACCGAGCTGATTAGCCTGGCCCACTTAACCTACTTGTTTTCTGTGTCCAAAAGCGTTTCTTTCTTGCAAGTCTCAGTTTTTCAATAGTAGTTAATGACCTTTTGCTGTATGCATAACAAGAAATAAACCTCTTGTCCTTCCTGATTGGAGTCTCTGAGGTATAAAAAATACTATTTAGTACAAAACCATAAGCTATTCCCTCATTAGAGCTAACGTTATCTGTAATAATACCACAGACATTTCTGCAGTGTTTCTGCAAGAATCTTAAAGTAAAGTCAGGCGTTGGGTAATTTACCACAGCTTAACAGTGACTCAAATTTAGAAATGTGTGAAAACATCAATTCATATTTTCTGGGATGCAGTATACCCCAAAACTAAGAAGAAAAGACCACTTTGACTTTCAGAATTCAAGCAATAATAATAATAATAATAATAATAACAATAAAATGAATACCAAAAGTAAGTTAGGATTTCAGAAACATGGAAAAGTAAACACAAACTAAAGAATGGATAAAAAATAAAGAAAAATAATCTCAACAGGGTAACAGTTTTGCATTAACACACAGAGCCGCACATGCAAAAAGACTTAACTAAGGCAAATGCTAAAAGAAAATCAAAGGGCTAGAACTAGAGAGAGTGAGTGAGTGATGGGGTGAGAGCACCCACAGATTTGATCAAAGCAGTTAAAGCTTTATACAAATTATGTGTAAGTTAGACTGTCTGTGTATAAAGTTGCTGATTTATCACGACTAATCAAAACTACTGTAACACAGACTTGTATGACCTCAGAAACAAAACTGAATACAGTCTCATTGGTGAGATTCTTTGAACAAAGATAGCGTCCCTCATGTCCTTCATCTTACTGACGTCAGCAAAAGTTGCTCTCAGTCAGGCCCAAGGTCTCTAAGATTACCAAATAGTGACATTTTGCCCAGTTATATGATGATGGACAAACCCAGTTCCAACTCCTGTACTAGCCATCTCCATGTCTGGGAGGAGAGATTGGAGATGGGCATAAATAAGTCTTGATCTCATGTCACAGTGTCCTTCTCAACAAACATGTCACAGGCCTCAAAGAGACACAAAGGCCAAAGAACTATTATCCCCAATAGGATAATAGGATACTACAGAAGTATAACATAAGGCAAAAATATTATAGTATTAGAAATCACTAATAGTATTAGTATTGATCTTATTTGGTTTATTAAATTCCCAAATCTGAGTGTGCTGCTATTTTAAGAGCCATACAGCATTACATGCAACAGACATGACTTTTAATTTATCTATATTTGAAGTTATTACAGTTTTGCTATATTAATCTTTTTCATCTTTTTAACAGATGCCTGCAGGAGGAGCCTTTTCAAGTCAGTTTTTCCAGAGCAGAGACGTAGCACAGACAGCTCCAACCATTAGCAGCTACCGCAGCTCCATCAGGACTGACTCTAGCGACAGCAACTCTGACTCAGAGGAGGAGGCTGCTCTCTGGAGGCGAAAGCGTCAGAAGTGCTCCAATGTTCCAGCCCCTGTGCCTCCTGCACCTTTTGGAGGTTCCAGAGCCTCGACGGTGCCCGCAGGCCGTAAGGTGAACAACATCTGGGGTTCTGTCGTACAGGAGCAGAGTCAGGAGGCTGTTGCGGCCGAACTCGGCATCTTGGGCATGGAGGGAGGCGTTAGCATGGACAGCCGTCAGAGTGAGACGTACAACTACCTCCTGGCGCGCAAGATGATGGAAAAGGAGAAGCAGGAGCACCAGGAGGGCATGGAGGCCATGTTGGACAGCCAACTAGAGGAATATATGCAACAAGAAGGACAGGAAGAGAAGAGTGACGGCCATCTTAAGAGGAAGCGGTCGGCCAAGGAAAGGCTGGGCCCTAAAGCTGAGATGGACTTTAAGGGGCGTTACGAGATAACACCGGATGACCCTGAAGACAGAGTGATCGATGAGATAGCACATAGGTGAGAGTGGAGGCAGTCAAAAATTCAAGGGTGTTACAGCTGCTGTGGTCTCACAAACCAGATTTCTGCCTGTCGCCTGAGTCTGGTGCATTTTGTCCCTTAACGTGGCCCACTTTGAGAGGAAACGGTCATTTGACTCACATGCAAAATGACCAGCACAGATCGTTGTTTGATGCTTTATAGCTACTAAATGCTTCAAAGAAACCCTTAAATAACTTTTAAAGATGAAATGGTGCACAAAGCTGGCAACTGCATGCAACATTTGTTTCCTGTCAGACTGATAAAACTCACTGCACTGGAGTGCATTCATGTAGACGTGCACTTAGCCAGTCAGAATGGAACTGACAATCCTGATAGCTGTGTCCAGCTTAAGATGCTGTAGATATCAAAGACTTCGTTTATGTGTGGGTGGAGAACTGTCAGCTGCAGCCTCAGACTATTTTCATAATTGCTTAACAGATTAGTTGATTAATCAGATAATACTCAATCAAACGTCATGCCTCTGCCCTGTTACAGTGCTGCCAGCATTTAAGGTTCCGTCTGTGCAATAAGCAGGTTCTTTTAAGTAGAAAGAGTAGAAAGCATATCTCCCGCTGGTGGACCGGAAGTAGACCTGTTTTATGAATGTTATACCTTTCGCGTCCAAAAACAATCACGAAAGCTTACGCGGCCCGCACACAGATGCAGTAAATTTATTTGATCCAATGTAGCTTATGTTGTTTGGCAGCTACCAAATGCTGGATATCAGACTGAAGAGAGAGAAGTTGCAAACGGAGTTGTGAGGTTTAGTTATTGTGGTTCCTACCATGTCGTCAGGACCCAAATCACTTTTAAAGCTATGTTTGATTAAATGTTTATATTGTAACAAATTTTTGTGATAAAAAATAGACAACCAGTAGTCACCTAGCAACACCACCGCAAGTTGGAAACCACTATTCTAGAGCGTTGTAGAGTACTTTTGTTTGTGAGTGAACAACACATCGACTTGTGTCTGTAATCAACGTTGTTTATCAGATAATCGTTGGAGCCGTAGTTTGCATTAATCCTGGTAATATTCTTTTTGACAGTTTGTTACTTACTAGAAATAGTGTATTTCACTTTGTTCACGTTACCATGCTGTATTCCTTGACTGACCTGTCTTTTTCTTTCTGTTTGAAAGGTTAATGGAGCCAAAGAAAGACTTAATAGAGCGTGTCGTGAGGGTGATCGGCTCAAAGAAAGCAATAGAGCTTCTGTCGGAAACTGCAACAATTGAACAGAGTGGAGGTCTTTACACTGTGGTAAGGATTCAAATTTGAATGCCTTCGCTGCTTAAATGAGAGAGCCACCCCTTTACCTGGTTTACCAGCAAGCATGCTGTGTTAAGACATCAGTCATCATGCGTTTATGAATATTTTAGGTCAGACTATAAATCAGTTTGGGACCAGATTTAATGCATCACACAACAGTTGTAAAAATGTGGCGACAGGAGATCTTCCTTATGTTTCTGTTTTGCTCCTCCACTAGTAATTTCACATTAGTTGCCACTGAGGGGCACCAGTGTACCTTGTACAGAGTCTTGGCATCCAGTCCTTATAAGGTAGTTCTACCATGCAGAAAAAACATTGAAGTTTTCCTCTTGCAGGATGGCAGTAGGAGGCGAACCCCTGGAGGGGTGTATCTGAACCTGCTGAAGAACACTCCCAGTATTTCTCATGACCAGGTCAAGGTATGTTTCCATAGTAGAACAGTGTTGCGAATACAGTGTTTGAGGATGCTGAAGTACAGTTTCTTCTTGGTCCATCGTTGCAATAAAAGTAGTCAAGACACTTAAAAATTGACACATTAAGCTTAAACTCACATGCGCAGAAGTGCATGAAAAGTTGATGCTCACATGTAGAGCAGTAACGGCAAATGTTTTATTAAGCCATGCTGGACAGGACACCATTACCCTCTCAAAGGAATTTGGCTAGCTTAGATGAAACCAAAAAAAGACAGACTGATTATTTTCTTTCAAAACTGTTTATGTTTTGAATGTTGATCACTGAGAATCTTCTTTCTTTCTTTTTTTTTTTTAATTTGAGAATTACTGTAACATTTATTTGCTAGTCATTCATCTAAATAAAAGACCAACAGGGCTCAACACTTACTTTCACAAAACAAGTTCAGGAGGAGTACATTTGTAACTGTTTTTTAATTTAAATATAAACTACCTTTCATTCAAAAGTTAGAGGATATATTTTAGCCACTGTTAGTTGAATCGGTAGATGGCCTAACGCTAGAACTAATAGCGTAACACTAGATGAGACAGCCGTTGTTTTCTAGACGAGGTCAATTATGTTCTGCTCGGTAGGTGAAACAGAATCTTTTCAAACTTAAGCTGTCACAGTTATCCTTGAGTAGACTTTTCAGTCTGTGGCACTTTATAGCACTTATGTTTTGTAATAGCAAAGTAGGGCTGCTCAATTATGGCAAAAATCATAATCACGATTATTTAACACAAACACTTATTGGCTTTGGAAACACCATGCATTGAATGACCTTTTAAAAAAAACTGGTCTTTTTAATAGAGATGGACCAGTCAAAGTTTTTGGGGTCGATGCTTATAGCTCACTGATCGCCTTTCAGCACGATCAGCTTATAACCAATACTGATCAAGAGCGGGGCAGATGCCACATTTAAAGGCGCAGAAGCAATTCTCAACAGCAAAACAAAAAGTGCTCCTTCAGAAGCTCTGCCCCCCAAATCCATGGAAGCACATTTCCAAAGCAGATGGCACTTTTTTTAAATCTTCATGGTCATAAAACCCTTAGTAAACACTGCATGGACAAACTAACGTTAGCTGCCTAGGTTGTGAGTTTGCAAGCTGTCACTACAGTTGCTACTGCGAAGCTAACCACAAATATTACCAAACAGGACAAAATGCTGACTGATTGATTCTGTGAAACAGCAGAAATAAGTTATTGTTACCAACCTGTCATCCAGAATCAGAGCAACCGTTCCTGTTTAATCCCCTTTCATGCCCTCAACTCTTTTAGCAGCTGAAGTCAGCTTCTTTTTTGCCAGCTACTCATTCGAATTTTCCTGTTCCATCTTGAATCATGCAGTAGTAACATTCTGTCGGCCCAGGCTGGCATAACCATTGAAATGACTGGAGCCTACACATTCGGCACAGCTAACAGGACATGAGTCCTACGATCGTTTTTGTAGTTCTGTAATTTATTTTTATTTTTAGCTCCTTCCAGAGCTGTAGGTCATAAAGCTAGTGCAGTGTAAGCTAAGCTAAGATTAGTGTTTGGATGTTAACAGAAAGAATCCTCAAAGCTTTGAGGACAAACCGCATTAATTGCAGCTCTGCACGTTCATACAGCGATACAGAATAACAGGAGCCAAATATGTAATATAGTTCAGAAAAAAAGGCTGAGGTTGGCTTCCTATTCACCAGCTTCTTGTTTGACTTTTCCTATTCCACCTTAAGTGGTGCAGCAGTTACATTTTGGTGCCACAGGTGAAACATGGCTCATATGTTTTATATCTCTGGCTTTCAGGACCGGCTAAGTTAGAGAAATATTGGCCGATTGCTTATTTAGGCTGAAAATTGGCTGATAACGATGCATAGCCGATCATTTCTTCAGTGAATTTCCTTGAACTTTAAATATATTTTAACTGAGAAACAATTAAAAAGGAAAATGTAAAAAATGCTAAATAAATTATGTAGTATATAAATGTGGACATTTTAAATAAGTAATATAAAAATCAACTATTGTACTATTCTACAACCTACCGAACACTGTAAGACACTGGCAATAAACGTTGCAGTAACAAGAAATAAACTTTTACCATCTATAGTTCGGCATGTGAGGAGTTAACTCTGTGAGAATCTCGTGCCAAATTTTGACAGCATCAGCTATTCATTACACCAGAATGAGATCTGTTTTATCCAGACTAGGTTATTAATCGTATAATTATTAAGAATGTATGGGATATTGCAGAATTGCAGACAACACTACAGGCTTTTTATTATATATATATATATATATATATATATATATATATATATATATATATATATATAAAACATTGTTTTCTAGGAAATATTTTATGAGGAGAACCAGAAAGAGTTTAACAGCAAAGAAGGTAGAGCAGTTATGCTAGAGCTAACAGTGTAATTATTAGAGACAGTCATAGTTTTTACACAAGGCAAATTATTTTCTGCTCCTTATAGAGTGACATGGAAATATGTTGGCTTGTTGAGGTAACTTTGATAATGCAGATATGCTAACATAGTTAGCCTAGCAACGCTACTTTTCAGTGCGTGGCTTGTCAAGGCACTCGTGTTTTACAGAAGCAAAGTTAAATAATATGAATAACTAAGACACACACTGACCGACACTGTACTTGTATTTGCTTTGCTCTCAAAGTGAATGTTTTATTTTCTAGGAAATATTTCTTGAGGAGAACCAGAAGGAGTATAAAAGCAAAAAAGCAGCCAAGAAGCGGCGGAGGCACATAGTAGCCAAGAAGATGAAGCAAGCGCTCAACACTTTGAATCTTCAGGAGCATGATGACGTCTCTCGGGAAACTTTTGCCAGCGACACCAACGAGGCTCTGGAGTCTTTGGAGGACGTTCCTGAGGACCAGCCAGAGCCTGCACTGGGCACAGAGGACAGTCCAGTAGTTTATAACTCAAATGACTTAGAAGTCTTCTGATGCATGTTCTGATGTGTCTTAGTAAGTGACTGTTTGTCAAGACAGTGGGAAAATGAGCTTACTGTGTTGTTTTTTTTTCTTTGTTTTTTGTTTTGTTTATTTTTTTGGTTAAAGCCCACAATCCACATGTAAGATGTTCAGTGAACAGCCTTATGCTTTATATCGTTTAATAACACCAATTACAAGGATGCATTTGCTCTGTGATATCATATGTCTGCTAGTATTAAATGGCTGTGAACGTTTCCTTACGCCAGTTAAGCCTGGTCGCAGATTAAAGGAACACTTCGGCAGAAAATCAAATCTATACAGTAAATCCACTTATTGTAGTCAGCTGGCAGTGTTTAATGTCCAGTTGTGCTGAATCTTTTTTGTTGTTTTGCCCAATTTCCCATAGAATCCAGCTCCACTTTGCTCGCTCATTTGCTTCACTGAATAACATTCATGATTTTTGGTTTTTGTTATAAAAAACGCTTGAATTTTCTAACTGCAGTGTGTCAGCGTGATGTGCACACTCAAAGGGTAGCTGGATTCTGCAGTGGAGCCGGACTTCAGCACAGAAATGGAAAAGATTTGAGTAACTATTGAATCCTTGAGTTTATCAACATTGGCCTCGTGGCTCCAGCACTAAACCAAAGAAGCAAAATTTGGATACCAAACATGTCTTGGCTCATTGACTACATCGGGGGTGAGTGGAAAATTGTGTAAATTTGATTTTTTGCCAGACCATTCCTTTAAACTGAGGTCATTGTTGAAAGGCCGTGTTGAAAATCATACAGTTCATGCACTGTGCTTCTTGAAAAATCTACAGTTCATGGACCATACTTTGTTTATCTCTAGAAAATAACTCCTTTTTTAAGACGACAGAAATCTAAAGAATACATCCAGGCAGTTTTTTAAAAAATTCACTAAAGCCTGTTTGGCGTGTTACTGTATGATGGGTATGTTCATTCTTAAAGTTGTTCCTAGACTTGATGTACTTTAATACTTACTTCTGTAAGTTCCTGAGCAAAATATTCTGCTAAATAAGAGTCACAGTCAGAGAATCTGTCATAATCCTAGTAGTAATGTTGATGCTTAGAGAACATTGCACTTGTTCTGCCTGCCATAGACTAATCCACAAAGCTAACATGCTTCTGCGTGTTCATGTACACTAAGCACTCAGCATACTCACTGTTGCTGTTTTGTAAAAGTTGAGTGTTTACTGAACGTGCCTCGTAAGAGTAATAGATTTGCTACTGAATACTTGGATATCAAATTGAAAAATAAAAATAATCCTGTTAGGAATCAGTTTTTAAGTCTGTGTGATGTTTACTGAACTGATCAAACTTCAAAACCACTCATCAGATGAATTTTCGCATCAGTGCTCTTTTCCTTTGTTTCTGATTTGATGCCTTGTCTTTTGTCACAACTATGTACTGTTACCACATAAAATGTTCATGAGCCGTTTCTTCATACCTCCTACAGTGATTCATTCAAGTTTCCTGTCTTTTGTGCTAAAATTCTGACTCAGTCATCCCTCCAACCTTTTCTCAAACATATTTGTCAAAGGTCTATTTTTAAATCGCATTGTAGACGACTATTCAGCCTGGTTTAGTGTAGTAGGGTTTTTTCCTGACATTTCCTCCATTTAGAATGAGTACAAAAGCTTAATTATGTATTTTTATTTGACCTAACATGCACTTCCAAAATAGAGCATCTTTTCTGTGCAGCAAAAAAAGAAAACGTGTTTAATTTGAGTGTTATTATGACTGCCTCTTGAAGCTCTCAGTCGGCTGGATGAGACTGAACCTCTTCACTGGTGGTTCAGGGACACACCAATGCCAAAGAGCTCTGCAGGCACAACTCTGAAAAGTTGTCATGGAGACATTCGGTGTAACACGTTCAAATTAGGATGCGTTATTGTGGCAGTGGTATAGAGTCTCTCACAGTTACAGAATCCATAGGCCAATGAGGGCAAAGATAGTCGTGACATGGCTTGTGAACAAAAGGTGTCACAGAAATAATGTTCCATTACCTCCTCAGAATATAGTGTGACTCAGTGTCAATTATGTATCTTAGCTGTTGCTTTAGGTACTTTTAAGCTGATTTTAGTATTTGCAATTTTAGTGAGTATGGAATTATGTGTATATTAACATTGTCTTTTTTTAAGCCAAATGAAGGATTTTTAGGCTACCCTTAACATTAGCCGTGATTAATATACAGAGCATGACACAATGTGGTCTGTGGGAGTAGTTTTAGAGCAACATTTACAGGCCAAGTAGGCTTGCCTGTACTTCAGGAAAATACATATGTAGATGTGTCTGAGTCATTTCTCAGAGATGTGAAAAGAGTGATTTGTGTTTGAAAGCAGCTGTCCATGCCAGAAGGTGAAAGCTGATTACATGTCAGTGCTGCAGTGGATTGAGGCTGAAAAGATGGTGACTGTTCTTTTAATAACAGTTGTAGAATTGGACAACATCATAAAATAATCAGCGGGGGAACCTGATGACCTTCTAGGCCTTCAAAAAGAGGCCTAGTGCTTTCTGTGGGGAAAAATGTGTGTCTGTAATTTTTAGTTTATTTTTATTTATTCATCATGCTTGTTGTATTTAAGTAGCAATTTAAAAGTATTTTGTTAAAAAAGACAATAAAATGGCTGTGCATTTATGAAACAGCAACCTCTACACCCAAATCGTGCATTATATGTGGAATAAAATGCCTTTCATATTCATCCATAAGCTGTATAACCCCCTATCTAACATTCAGTGCACTGTTTGGATGCAGAAGCCATAGTTCCATGACCTGTAGAAGTCCTAGATACGTCACTGACAATATGCAAATAAGCATGGCAGCCTTAGCAATGCATTTTAGTCAGTTGTTAGAAAGGAAAATAATGGGAGCAGCTCTATGTTATGGCTTTTACCGAGTTACTGTAAAAGTGCTACAAAATAAAAATTATGTTAATGTGTTTATTACAAGTTTCAAATAAAACAATGTTTTTTACAAGCTTCAAATGTCAGCAAATTTATAATAATCTAGAACGACCAAGAAATGTTCATGTGAAATGGTGTTAGCATCTCATACTACTAGAATCCCATAGAGCTGCTAGAGGAATTTAGGATTATCACAGAGGTGGGGTTTTGACATTAAGTCCCAAACTGAAGGCCTAGCTCTAAAAGTCACGGTTCGACAATGAAAATAATGTATAGTACATAAATAGCTCACGCCTATTACGTAGTAGTAAGTCAAGGCAGCTTGACCTGAGGTTTATTTCATGTTCAAGACAAAGTCCAGTTATCCAGTGACCTGAATGACTGAAAGCCTTCACCCACAGCTAACTTCTGTAACTAATGATATTTATATTTTGATAGAATGCTGAAGTCGTCTTCTAGCAATGATGGCATGAAAGCCTTTGCTCCCGTCTGGACCGTAAGGCAGGCGAAGGATCCCAGGTGGCACTGTGTCTCCATTTAGCAACCTTTTTCCATTCATCTGGCTGTGCTTGGAGATCCCCTCCAAGGGTTGGCTTTGGATGGCAGCCAGCTTGCGCTTCTGCACCCAGGGGCTTCTGGAGGGGGAGCCACAGTCTTGTGAACAGTCTAGGAAGTTGTGACGTCCCATTTCAGGACTTGTGTCTGGACTTCCACAGACCTCAGTGGCCAAGAGTGGTGACACCCGTGGGGCTGGCAGGGGTACATGGGCAGATCTGGGGCTGGACCGTGGGCTGCTCCAAGGGCTGTTGCACACCTGGCCAGAGGCAAAGCGAGGTATGTGTAACGGTGAGGAGGAGGCAAATTCAGATTCAGAGGAGCTGCAGGCTGAGGAGTCTTCTCCACGGGACTGCAGCTGCTCCATGCGCCGGTTCAGGACAGAGATACTTTTACCATTCTTTTTGCCTGCCTCCATAACTTTCTTCTTGGATGCTCTCCCCACTAGGAGCACTCTCAAGCTGTCTTCAGACTGAGACAGCTGGTGGTAAGCGCAGCCAGCACCTTCTAAATCCTCAAACTCCACTAGTACGCTCTCCTCTGTGAGGAGCTCAGGGTACCTGTCTCCATACTTTTGAATCTCCGGTGGAAGCTCCCTGCCTGGTCGGTTGACCCGCACTGTGGTGATGCTGCCAAACGGTTCCAGAATCGTGATGGCCACCTCTATTGTACTCTTGTGAGGTGTCTTCATGTCTTCAGACTGGGCAGGATTTGAGATGTTCCATACCAACAGCAGCTTGCTTGGCACCTGAGCAAGGACAGATTCGGGCACAGGCTCTTTTCTACGCACCTTATTTCCCTCCTCGTTTACCTCTAGCTTTGAAGAATGGCGTAGGGCATAGGCTGTGACCCGCCAGTCTTTTGTCAAATGCTTCATCTGGAAACAGGCAAAAACAAATCATTCGGCCTAGTTCATGAATTTATCCTAGCCCCTATGCCTTTTCATATAGAGCAGACTCACATACATATAGGTACAATGCATTTGCAATTGCCATCTTCTTTTCTATTATTTATTTTATGTATCTTATTCTTAATTACCATTTGTGTAATCATTCAAAAGTTTGAAAACCTTTAAATATACATATATATATGTATATACATCCATATATGTATAAGTGGGTGTGTGTGTGTACATATATATAGCCCTTGCCATTAGCCCTAAATACAACATGCAAATAAGAGAGTGAAAAAGTTTAACAAAGATAAAAAGGTAAACTGAAAGTGAACAATATAACATCAACATTCTGGTATAGAATTGTGGACTTTGGTTTGAAGGAGGCATCAACTTACCTTTTTAAAAGATGTCAACAACTTGATATTGACGTAGCCCATCTTATTTCTTCTTACATGCTTTAAAAGGAAAGCATCCTTAGCCAAATTTTCATCAGAGAGGTAATGTTCAATCTGTGAGACCATTTTTCGGATAAGATCAGCATTCGGAGGTACCCAGTCATCAGCATCTATATCTTCATCATTCTCGTGGGGAAATGAAAAAAATCTGGGGAGAGCAAAAAAAAAAAAGCATGAGATGTTGTTAATGCCTTATTTCACAGGCATTAACAAAGTATTTCACAAATATTAAAACAAAGCACAAAACAATATAGCTTACTTGTTGTTGTTAATGCTGTCCATTCTGTTTTCTGATTCAGAGGAGCCTTTGTTGTCTGGTTTTTCAAAGCAGCTGTTATTGTCTCTCTTCAATGACTGTCAGTTTGAAATGCTTAATTATTATCCTGAAGGTTTTGAGTAGCCTTTACACTGCTTGGCTGTGCTCTCCTTCAGTGTTCTAAATCCAGTGGTTACGCCCACACCACTGAACCTGTCATGCAGCCTCCAACCAATCGATAGCGTTTATGAGAACAATGCTGTAGCATGGCATTTCCATTTGAGGATATTTCTACTCACTGACATCACAAGAGGCCCAAAAGTTGCTCATCCTTCTCATGACAAAAATAGATTTTGCCCAACATGCAGATGTTTAGTACGTTTTATTAAATGCACCATACAGAAAAAAAGAGTGTCCAGGTATATTTTAGTCCATCCAAGATACATACAATGTAAATGTACCCTCAAAGGTACAGCATGGTCCTTAAGGTCCATCAGGGAAAAAGGTACACTAAATTCTCTTGCCCAGAGAAAAAAGGTATATTATTACCTTTTCATAAATTAACTTTTTAAGTTTAAAAAAGTCAGGACCAGGTGTATTAAGTCAGTGCAACTTAAAGAAACATAACTGCAATAGAATATGGTACAATTATATTACTTAACCAAGGTTACTGAAGACGTGGGTACCGCCACAGTGGCAGTCACAGTTCTGAAAATTAATTAAAGGGCTTAAAGGGATTAAAGGAGCTATTGAAGAAAGATATCATATTTGTGCCCTTGTGGCCCCATCCCAAGATCCGCCCCTGATCGAAATGATCTCACTATGTTAAATACTTTTTAATAAAAGAGTTTTACATAGTATATAAACATTGTTATGATTTCAAAATGTACCATTCACTCCACAATCCATACAGTCCATATTCAGCCTATAGCAGTTAGCTTCACCCATTCACACTAAAGTTAAGGAATGTTTCAGCCCGAACAGTTTTTTGAATTTTGCACAATATGGGACAGCCAATCAAAACAGAGCTAATTTACATATACCAGTCTTACAGGCACAGTAATAAGGACAGCCTGTTTAATTGTAAAAGATAAAAGAGGTGTTTAAATCAATTATGACTGTTCTTGTTATATAAAACAACACTAATGTAATATGTGAATCCCAGGGACAAAAGATAAACTATAAGAAAAATGCAGGCCCTTTAAGAAATATGCTTGAAACAATTAAAATTATCTACGTACTACATAGTGAGATACGGTAGATGGTAATATAAAGCAACAAGTAGTGAGATTACTTTTCCAGAAAACAATAAGTGAAGTAATAAAACATGTAGTATATCTAATTTGTATTTTCATGGGGCCCTTGGCCCAATGGGTGCTTGTCAGCTGGCTACCTTTGCCTAGTGTGAAGACCACCCCTGATGTCACTGTAAGTCTAATAAAACGTTGCACACAAATGCACTAAAGTCAACTCTCATTTTGCACTGGAATAAATTTTGAGCAACACTGCACATGCATAAAGTGACAGTTTAACAATGAATCGAATTTCAACAATTTTCCCCTTACACCCTGCTTGAAGGACCAACATAGACCAGCATGCCAGCTCACCAGCAAAACCAGCATATGTTGTGTTTTGAATGCTGGTCAGCAGCAATGGAGGTTATTAGGCTGATCATCAGCAAAACCAGCATATGTTGTGCTTTGAATGCTGGTGTGCTAAACCAGCACTAGACCAACATAATCCAATGTAGACCAGCTTAGACCAACATGGAATGGAGTGCATGCTGGTTTGTGCTGTTTTTTTTTCAGCAGTGCCTAAATCAATTAGCCAAGCCTTGTTTGGTGTATGAAGTTTGCCTCTTTAGCTTTGCACTGGAGCTAACATAGTTAACAATTAATGGAAGCTAAAACCCATGAGTTAGCATTGTGCGATTATCTAAATCATCAAACACTTGCCTCAACCTTTGTTGTTAAGAAATATTAAACAGACCTGTGTATGCGGTTTCTGACACTGTATGACTGTTATATACTGTTATCTAGAAAAATGGACAAAAAGTACAATGCATAAAAAAATGGTACCAGCAGCCGTATTCCCTGCTAAAAACCAGCACAGACCAGCATACACAATATGGACAAAAGTATTGTGACACCTTCACATTACACCTACAGGACCTTTTGTGGCATTCCACTCTAAATCCACAGGCATTAATATGGAGTTGGTCACCCCTTTGCAGCTGTAACAGCTTCCACTCTTTTGGGAAGCTCTTTTACAAGATTTTAGGGTGTGTCGTTGGATGAGAGGGCCTGGCTCACAGTTTATGTTCTAGTTCATCCTAAAGGTGTTTGATGGGTTTGAGGTCAGGTCTCTGTACGGGCCAGTCAAGTTCTTCCACACCAAACTCACCCAGCCATGCCTTTATGGACCTCGCTTTTTGCACTGGGGCTCAGTCATGCTGGAACAGAAAAGGGCCTTCCGCAAACTGTTCCCAGAAAGTTGGAAGAATAGAAATGTCCAAAATGTCTCAGTATGCTTAAGCATTAAGATTTACCTTCACTGGAACTAAGGGGCCTAGGGCAACCCCTGGAAAATAGCCCCATATCATTATCCCTCCTCCACCAAACTTTACAGTTGGCACAATGCAGTCAGGCAGGTAGCATTCTCCTGGCATTCACCAAACTCAGACTCGTTCTTCAGACTGCCAGATAGAGAAGTGTGATTCGTCATTCCACAGAATACGTTTTCACTGTTCCAGAGTCCAGTGGCAGAGTGCTTTACACCACTCCAAACGACGCTTGGCATTGTGGTTGGTGATGTAGGCCTTGCATGCAGCTGCTCCCACTTTCTGCTTCCACTTTTCAATAATACCACTCACAGTTGATCATGGAAAATCTAGGAGGGAAATATTTCGCAAACTGACTTGTTGCAGTGGTGGCTTCCAATTAGGTACCCCTCGAATTCAGTGAGCTCTGTAGAACGACCCATTCTTTCACAAATGTTTGTAATGGCTTACTGCATGGCTAGGTGCTTGATTTTAGACACCTGTGGCAACAGGACTGAATGAAACACCTGAATTTATTTAAGAATTTCATTAAGCGGTGTCTAATACTTTTGTCCATGCTGTGTATGTTGTACTGCTGGACTGCTGGTCAGCAGCAATCGGAGTTAATGTGCTGATCACCACCAAAACCTCAAACAAAACCTTGTATCTCCAAAATGGTGACTTTACAGAAGAAGAAAAAAACTTACTTTACTTTCATTGAAAGTAAAGTCATTATGGGTCATTTCTTTTGGTCTAAGCATAATGAAACTTACACACAATGTAAAGGGCAATAGACATTTTTGAATTATGTCAAAAACTGAAAAATGACAAAAATGGAGATACAAGGTTTTGTTCTGACAGCAGCGATATGTTGTGTGCTGGTATGCTGGTCAACCAGCATGGCCATGGCCATGACCAGCACTAGACCAGCATAAAATTTATGAAACCCATGCTAGTTTGGGCAGTGTTTTTCAGCAGGGTTAAAGCCTTAATTTTGCTTGCTCTTTTATTTATTTTTTACATGTAACACAGTATGTCAAATGTCAGTCACAGCAACTTACAACAGAAGATGTTGTAGTCAGACCAACTCAGAACTGTGATCCTCTGATGCTTCTTTAAAGCTATAATCTGCAGGGACCTCAACTCTAACCTCAACTCCATTGCAAAAAAAAAAGCCATCTGACCATGGCTTATTTCAACTCCTCACCTCAGGCATTTCAGTCAAAGAAACAACCAGATACTGGAAAAGTTTCTTTGCTAATAATGCATTTTACTCATGAACAAATCATGCACAAAAGCTCTGTCTCTGTTTAGTGTTTTAGTGCTATTTAACCTACTATCTGACCGCTGAATACTGCACTTTATACCAAATACTTTGCATTTTTCTGTGACACTGAGTATATGTGAAAAATGCAGGACTGAATGTCTATGTAATTGCACAAACTGAGTTGCAAGCTACTGTGTAACTGAAGATAAATGCCTTGTGTGTGCAAGTATATTTGGATAGTAACTTGATCACTACATCGGAGTAGTAAGTAAGTGGCATGTTTGATATAGCAAGTATTGAAATCCAAGGCCTTCCCTTAGTTCACAGCTCTCTGTAAGACTGCATGTTTCAGCACTATGTAACATTCCACATATGCTGCTTACTAGACATTTAAGGTCTCCTTGAGTATTTTTAAAACAAATAATGAGACAGTCTCGGCCCTTATATCTTCAGAAGTGGATATTTTAGATTGAGAAACTCAGCACAGGTGAAAAAATATGAGGTGGTTGAGTGGGTTAGGGTTCCACATAAGAAACTGGAACATGTGAGAAGCTGAAATGTTAGAATGACTTAAAGCAATGGTTCAGCCACACACAATCTACTGCTTACCCCAAATGTGGTTGATCAGCCAACATGTCTGATGTGCAAAGTTTGCTTTTTTAATTTTGTTCTAAAACTACAAGGCTAATGTAGCTACCAAATAATAGAAGCTCATATCCCACCAGCTAGTGTTAGGAGGATTGCATGCCTAAATCATTATACACTAGACTTCTAAGCTTCCATTATTTGTGCCAGTGCAGACTGTAGAAGTATGGTGCATATTTAATTTATTATGCAATTAAATTAATTAATTTATAACCCAATATAAACAATAAAAAAATATATTTTCTTTGAGAATTTAAAGCACACACACAGACATACATTTTCTAAACCGCTTATCTTTCTGGGTCGCGGGGGGTTGCTGGAGCTTATCCCAGTGGTCATTGGGTGGAAGGCAGGAAACACCCCGGACAGGATGCCAGCCCATCGCAGGGCAGACAAACAGACACATACTTTCACACATACACATTCACACCTAGGGGCAACTTAGCGTGTCGAATCGGCCAGACTGCATGTCTCTGATCTGTGGGACAAAAACCGGAGCACCTGGAGGAAACCCACGCAAACACAGGGAGAACAAACTCCATGCTGAGAGGACCCCAGTCACCCAGCCAGGGAACCAACCCCAGGCCCTTCTTGCTGTGAGGTGACAGCGCTGATTTTAAAACAGTATTCAAATATTATTAAATCTTAGGTCTGTGTGTCCTTGTTTCTCAGAGGTGTGTTTCGTATCCAATGTGTTTCTCCCTTGTTTTTTATCAGGAACTAACTAGGCTACATTCAAAACAAGCTGAAAAAACATGTCAGGCTCACAGTCATCACAAATTTCAGTTTTATTGCAGCCCCCCAGAAAAGCAAGCAGTGAAAATATTGCTGCAAGTGTTGAGAGAAGCTGTTTCAAAATCAAGCATTTTAGCCTGCAACAATCACAAAAAGGCTATGAGATCCTGGTGGGGATAAAATTGTGCAAATTTCATTTTTGGCTAAAAAACTGACTTAGTGGTCAAAACAAGTGGTCCAAGGATAATGTCTACACCTCCCTTCTTTCAATAGTAGGCCTGAGTTAGTCCTTTATTTCCACTATTCCTTTAAAGCAGGCATGTCAAACTGTGGATCTTCTGAGCCAAAGTGCTGCAAAGATTAGCGTTTACCCTCATCTAGCGCTCTGAATTCAGTTCAAGAAGGCCTTGCTATTTAGCTGATGAGCTGAATCAGATGTTTTTAATGAGGCGGTTCACAAGTCTGCAGTGTTTTGTTCCATGAGGACTGGAGCCTGACATGTGCTTTAAAAGCATGATTGACTCTCGCAAATGACGGGTTACATCATAAACACACCCACAAATGTGGCGACTCTTTTTTGCTAGTGAGAACATTTTGCTCCAGGCAAGAAGAAGGAAAAAAGTCCTTTGGTTTCAGTGGCAGTTATGAGGTTTATGCTGCCATAGACTATTGTATGACCTCTCTGCAATGCAAACACGTCACATTCCATATTGACCTCTTCCTTCTTCTGTGCTGTTTGTTTGTTGTAATACTCACCAACTTTGACTTATCTGGCCGCGTATGCTACTGGCTTCCGAGGAGTATCTTAACCAAACAACAGATACCAGCAACTCTCTAAAACCAAATGTAAACACAGGGTACCGTAGTACGTAGTAATTACTCAGGACTGACTGGAATGCTGGCTTGGGGAGGAGAGCAGGTGAAGTATTGGAAACATAGAGGCGCCAAAGGATGTACTAAAAAATGCTGAACTTACTGTATCAGGGGCTAACAATTTCACTCCTGGAGGGCCACACTTGTCACACCAAATACAACTAATACAACATATCAGCTAATTACCAAGGTTATTTGACTCAGGAAATCAGCCAACTGTGCTGGACTCCAGTCCTTCAGGACTGTAATTCATGCCTCCTGCACTATATAACAGCATTTTTGTTTGCATTATTAAGCATTATAAATGTGGTCATGTGCACTGATCATGCATTAGCGGTAAAGTTTTATGTGCCTGCCTACTTAAAATGCACGACAAACACTACTAACAAATGCTGCTATTGCTCATTGTGTGTTATCATTAAAAGTATAAAACAAATGTGTTTGCAAATAGAAGTAGTATGTTCTATTCTAAAAACAGAAGGTTATACAGTAGAATGTTAGACATGCTTTAGACAGTAATACCTAAGGCATAAACATCTGAAGATTTGTACATCCCCAAAGGAAAAGTCTAAATACTACCCTACTAGAAAAACCAGCACAGACCAGCAACACCTGCATATTTTGTGTATTCTGTGTTTTACAGGCTGGTATGCTGGTCCACCAGCATGACCATGCTGGGAGACCAGCTAAACCAGAACAAGACCAGCACTAAACCGGTATATACCAGCCTAAATCATGCATACTAGTCTGTAGTGGATTTTTGAGCAGCATAAGGATGCAATGCTCCTCAGAATTCACAATTCAGTGGTGTCTTGATTTGATACAGAAAAAAATTAGGAGTGGCTAAAAATGTGCTATAGATTATTATGTTAATGTTTCAGTTTATTAGAGCATTCAACATCACAATACAATAATACTGTAAAACACAGTATTGTGGCAGCTGCCATTATATGTTACTATATGTACTGCTTCATCTCTGCTAAATACCATATCTGATTGTTAAATACTGCCTGCAAACATCTGACATTACAATGCTTAACACACTAATCCCATTTTAACAACATGGAGGGTCACCATCTGGCATTTTATGGCACACTATTTTACGGTCATTAATTTGTGCTACACCCAAAAGGCTTTTCAATAAGGAGACACCATGACAATTTAGTCCAAAAGCTTCATCTGGTGGTGGAAAACCAATCCTGTCAGTTTGGTGTTTTTGATGTTGCAAGGCACAAGAGTCCCTTTTTCAAACACTTTGGGATTGTTTAAGCTTTATTTCATTGTAAGCTGTGTGTTCATTATATTGCACTGCATGGTGTTTTGTTGCATTACACTTGAATAGTAAAAAATATGGAAACAAACAGAGGGTGACCTCCACTTCGATATTGTCTGTAATGGGCCAGTGGAGTGTAAAAAGTACTTTTCAGCCGATTGTAACACGCACAGAAAATAATGATCACTAATATGTGAATGGAAAATGGAGGCATGTGTATAAAGGCGTGCTTTGTCCGCTCCTATCCAGCCCGGTGCCGTGATCCTCCGTCTGCATTCCGCTTGTTTTGAATTTTGTATCAGTCGCTTCGGTTGGAAACGTCTCGTTTCGTCGCGGCTGGCTATTGGTCAGTCGGAGTCACGTGACGTTTGCGACGTAAAGAGCGGCCATATTAGTCAAGCCCATTTCTTTCATTCGGTTGGAAGACAAAGTGGGAGCTTTGTGGGTTTTGAACCTTTTTTTTCTTCTTTTGTGGAATTTCAGTGCATCCTGTTTGGTGTTATCTTTACTGTAGGATGCTCTTTAAATTAATTGCTTACTTCCACATAATTACTTAGGGACACTTTCTCCGCGGGAGGCCCTTATTTTGTAGTTGTCAGGCTATATTTAACCGTTTTCCTAAGTATTTTTATGCGCTGATATTACACACTCGCGAGCTCACACGCGGCTTATTCAGCATTCAACGGAAACCTGGGGATATTGGTTTAACTGTAGTGCTTTTAACTGTATTGTAGCTTTTGTGTTTTTCGGAGTTCGTTTTACAATGGCGACTGCACCTTCCACACCGGCCGGTCAGAGACTGAGCAGCACGCCGCTGAGCCCCACGCGGATAACGCGGCTGCAGGAGAAGGAAGAGCTCAGCCACCTGAACGACCGCCTGGCCGCTTATATCGACAAAGTGCGGAGCCTGGAGTCCGAGAACAGCGTCCTCCACCTGCAGATATCCGAGAGGGAAGAAGTGAGGAGCCGCGAACTCACCGGTTTGAAGTCTCTGTACGAGACGGAGCTGGCGGACGCTCGGAGGTCCCTGGACGACACGGCGAAGGAGCGCGCCAGGCTGCAGATCGAGCTCGGAAAGATCAAGACCGAGCACGAACAGCTGCTGCAGAGGTGAGCGGCTTTATTTACATCCCAGGCGTTTATGGAGTTACAGCATTGCACGTGGATTATTATCACCAGCACATTTTTAGATAATTTTAGTCGCAACTTGCAGCAATACGAGGTTTAGGGCGACCCGTGACCCTGAATATGAGACGCCTGAACAACAGACTTGTGAATCAGAAGTTCATTGTAGGTTCAATAAACAGTCCCTATAATGGACCATCTGTCTCCTTAAGCATGGTCCCATTAGAGAGTGCTGCTTGATTTCCTTTCGCTGGAGGACATAAGCTAGATTCCTATCTTCGTGCCGAGAGAGCAAAGAGTGAAGCTCACATCAGTTTACACGCCTGCACGTTTTTAGAGGGGATCACTAAAGTCTCCACAATTAATATCCCAGAATAAAAATGGGAGAGAAAGGATTGTTGTATTACTGACCAATCACATACTTCAGCATTATTGAAGTAGCTATGGAAGGGCCCTAGCTAAATGCCTTTGCAACCCAAATGTGTGGTTAGTAGTAACCGGCAGCTCACAAAGCGAAGTTACAGAGCTCATTCTTTCTAATGGGTACCGTTTTTATGTGGCTCGTTTGTGGGATCCGCTCTCCGGTTCAGTTGATCTGTATGTTTTTCTTCACTGTGTTTGTGTTTCAAAATGGCCCGCCAAATGTGGCCTATCAAGAATAGTGAGCAGTAACAGACGGTGTGAAAGCCTGTGGCGGAGCGCCACGCGTCTGCCGCGGTTAGTATTCAGTCTAGTGTCTGAAATGAACGCTTGGCGGACAGTTGAACTCTCCCTGTATGCCAGGCCTTCGGTCTAAAGTTTAGCCCATGTGTAGGCCAACAAGCGATTTCCGAAGGGTCGAAAGTGGAAGTTCTGCCTTTTCCAAGTGCCACACCTTTTCTGGCTCTGGGGGAGGGGCAGCTACCTTCATCCTTTGGCCATTTGACTGGAAACCGAGCGCTATCACAAAAGGGCCGCAGGCCATGTTTGAATGCGTGGCTTTTGTATTTGACCACACACTTTTGCATTAATGACATTAGAGTGATAAGTCTCTAGGTCATTTAATCAGGACCTTTTCACAACCTTATCATACTGCTTTGTTCTGGTAAAGTTAGAGTACATAACTTTGCCTTTGGGCCTGTCCGGACATTATCTTACCCTGTAGAAAGTGCATGTACTTTGTGCAAAACGGTTGTTTAAGGTGGATTGCATTGGATCGTGCTTCCCATTTAACGTCAGTGTATGTTGTTGCTTGATTTGGGCGCTTTACTTTTCCTTTTCCCAATTTCCTGTCCCGCTATTGTTGTTGCTGTCACGGTTTTCTGGCTGTAATTTAATTCAGTTCATGCAGTTAATGTCATGTAAGCTACAGTGTACAGTGAGTTTCTTACTTTGTATTCCCCCTAAACACAGTTACAGGATTGATGTGGATCCTTAAAGTCTTAAGGTTTTAATGTGTTTTGTTTTTTTAATTTACAGTCATCAAATGTGTGAATTTATGTTTACTCAAGGTGATGCCTAAATATCCGGTTGATGATTCAGTTAATTCAGAATAGTCTGCCATCCAAGCATATCCAGGTGACAGCGGTGCAGTGGTCAGAGAGACCACCGACAGAAAGTTAGATAGCCAAGTCAGACACACAAAGTAGACGATGGGGATATTAAGTGGATGCTATCAACAACACATCATCTGTGTATTTTTAATTTTCATTCAATCTGTGTAAATGTAGACATTAATCCATGCCATATTTGAGTTTGTGTGCGATTGCGTAGTGGAAGTCGTTTTTATTTCTCCTGAATCGAGACCGTGTATTGAATTTAGGTATGAAAAATTATTGAATTTGTTTTTAAAATCTGCCACAATCCTGAATTAACAAAAGCACAATTAACAGTTGATGGAGAAAATTAGATACGCTCATGTCAATGAGCACAACAAGATTATGCAGTATGAAACAATACTTAGTTATGGCTTCTTTAAGTGCAAATGTTGACTAGTCTGAATTGCATTGAGACCTGGCTCCAACCCGCAGACTTTGCGCTGGTGCCTGCAGCAAATTAGAGGGAGCAAGTCACTTGATGTTAACAGGATGTTTCTGAATGGCTGGTTACCTTAAGTGGATTTACCTTGTGTTTATATTTAATAACAGGCCTCTGCCCATTTATATTGTACATTGTTGAATGAAATGATGTGCAAGATTGTTTTGGTTTTGTTTTTTAGTTTTGCTTTAAATCTGTTTTATGCTTCACAGCGCAGCTGATAGTTGAGTCTGTCTGCAGTCCCTCTTTTGCAAAGGATTTAAGGATTATCCCACCTGCATCTTTAATGATTAGTGGTTCTTGATAATGCCGCACTTTAGGCTTTGTAAGTCCGTGGTTATTAATGGCTATTAAGAATGTCTTGGTAAGTTGTCACACTGTCAGCTCCATGATATGTAGGTTATTTTTACATTTGTATCTATTTCTGCACGTGAGTTGACTTGGGTGGTCGTGCAGCTTGGTATTGGTTTCCATACCATGTTCTGTTTGCATGTTATTTGTTTCCCTGAATTTTTGAGTCACTTTGTAATCGAACAGTCCATGTTTGTCTATGGCAACTTAATTATTAGGATGCAAGGCAAACTCACTAATGCGTAGTGCTGGTAGTGTTAAATTTCACATGGTCATTCTTATGGTGTTTTATTCCTGGTAATTTTGTTTCTGTTACACTCCAGTAGTATTGCATGATAGATTATCAACTGGCATGTTGAGGAGTGGAAATTGTTAAATCACCGTTCAGTTCTGTTTCCACAAAAGTGGCACCAGTGAGATGATTCATACATCAGTCTGAATGAAGGGTGGATACACACTTTTTTTGGGACAGATGTAGATTATATGTGTTTTCACCTCCTATTAAAAGCATAGGTCTCGTGTAGAGACACGTCTTACCATCTGTCATTTGTGTATCACGTAACCTGAACTATTCGACAAAAAGGATCAAGCCCAGCCCCTTTCTAGTGAATGGCTCTTGGGTCATGGAGAGAGAATTTAGAGGCGGAGCATCTGTGTCAGTAAGGGCTCATGCAGGCTACTCCACCCATTATCAGGCTTCATTCATGAGACCATTCCGTTTAGGATTCAGTATCGCATACATGGGTGTAAATGAGCCTGAGTAAGATGTAGATAGATGTCGTGTGCAAAGTGTTTGTCTGAGTGTCTCCTGACTTCCCCCCCATTAAAGCCTTTATTGGAGACCCATGGCTTTTAATCACTTCGTTGCCATCTGTAGTCTAACTGGTCAGAAGATTTGTGTTGTTGGTTCCTACACATTTCCTACACTTTTAATGCCTCAGTTCTTGCTAAATTACAAACATGTGGTGCAGCATGAGCCTAATGATAGGTGGTTGTTGTTGTTGTTGTTGTTGTTGTCAGCATTAAGGCTCACATTATAAGGCTCCCAGTGTCATACCTCAATTATTTGAAGCTTATTTTTTTCCAGAAATCTTTAATAGAAAATAACAAAGGATATAGTTCTGGGTGAAAGGAATGAAACTGTGTAGCAGTTATGCACACATTTGTCCTCAAGCTATTACTGTTGGGTTTAGTTCAGGAAATTCCAAGTAAAAACTTTCAAAACAGATGCGTAGAAAGAATTCTGAAAATGAAAGGCTATGTGTGCCCTTCCCCAGAATGGCAGTCTTGTTTTAATATTTTTCAGACTGTCATGTTGTGACACTATCCATTTTGATAGTGCAAGTGATTGACTGAAGCAGAAAGCTCACTCCCACCACCTGTTCCAAAGAAAGCTGAACAGACTCCCTTTATTTAGAACACCTGTCTCTGGGTGTGCTGTGGTCTTCTCAGTAGAGGTGTGTTTGTGGGTTGTGATGGTTCCGAACATCTTATTAATTTCCGAAGGGCTTGTGTTTATAAACAGAATTCTGTGCAAGAAGTTAAAAGTGTGTTGAATTAAATGGGAAATTAAAAATTAAACTGAAATCTCTGCTAATGTAAACCAGTGGCTTTTTTCTCCTTTTTAATGTTATGCCTTGAAAAGCGTGCTGGGGTATAATTAGTGAGTTGTTTATTCAGCTTTATCCTCATGGTTTGGATAGTTTGGAATGATGGTGATTTAGCCCATTCAGCCTTGAGGAGGTGCCATAACTTAAACTTTAGGTTTGAGTGGCATGGCAGCTGTAAGATCTTTGTGTAGGTCTTCTTACTTGTGCAGCTGTTCATTTCCCTTCTGAAAAAGTGTCCCTTTGTCCAGGTCCTTTACAGTGAAGACACATCTGCTACATTAAGCCTTGCAGATTTAATGATCGCTACCCTACAAGGAGACTTGTGTGGTGACATCTTGGGAAAACACAGCGCTGATGTTTTTTTCTGAGCTAATTAGCTCTATAACTGTAGTTATTTTACCTTAGCCAAGCACCAATCCAATATTTTGTCTCCTGATACTTATTCCGATATCTGAGCTTGATATCCGTGCGCTGTTAAGGCCCTCACGTTTCATAGTAACAAAGCACATTCATGTACAGTAGAGGCAAATGTGCTATTGTGGAGATGATCATGTGCCAAAATTCTTTTAAGTTAGCATTCGTTTAAGCCGTATTGTTCTCAGAAGTTTTTAAAATTGCATAGTTAAAACTTTATAACTGTAAGGAAAACAAGTCCCATCTGACTTAACCAATCTTTTTAATAATGATTGTATTGGTGCTGATACTGATCCAGTAGATTGGATCGGTGTATGTCACCATTAAATTCAATTTAGGATCTAGACTTGATACAATAACTAATCAACCCCTTGGCTGACACCATAAACTGATAATTATTTTAATTGAATTATTTTGTTTTACATTACTTAATGTAGATATTTTACATTGTTTAGTGGATGCTCTTATCTAAAGCCATCAAAAGCAGCATGTAAATAAATACGAGAGTCCTAAAAATAAAGGAAAAGTGTGTGTTTTAAGTGATACTATAACTAACAATGGGCCTCATTTACCAACTCTGTTTTCTGTCACCATTCACTCAGTAAATTATGGCCAGTGGCAGCTATTACCAGAAAATACAGAGCAGCCAGCAGAGGCCACTGTGGAGTTTAGAAGAAAGGAAATTCTCACCATGAGTGACGTTCTGTGCTTCTACACATGCTTGAGTGCACGCACAAGCTAAAAATAGGACGGCATGTTATCGGTTGTGAATATCAACCATAGAGTCAATATCGCACCGATTTAATAATAGTAATGTTTTTTCATTTATCAGCAAATGACCTTGACCACTGAGACTGCGCATCCCTACATGTCATGATTCTGTTGATTTTAAATTGGTTTAAATTGTTGTAAATCTTTTGGGTGCCAAAGAAAAGTCGGGAGACGTAAGATGCAGTGATGTTCTTTATTATTTAAGAGAGTGTTTAATAGCAGCCAATCTGCAATAACCAGTCGCTCTGTCTCAGTCTGCAGTCTCAGTGGTCATGAAAGAGCCCAGTCTTTATTCGAACAGTGCTCACACACAAAGGTGCAGTGATGGCTTACTAGTAATGTTATCTTTCCTTTCAGTTGAGTGTAAACTGCCTCACATTCCACCAACATTCCATTCATTTTACTCTCTACCTAGACGCCACTTTACCCATCCATACTTAATACCTCAGGACCCCACCTTTCTGTCAGTCTAACTCAACCATGCGCATGTGACTGGGGCCCCATCCCGCTCCAAAACCCTCAGCAGTTCAAGAAAGTCGTTTATACAATGGCATATGTGTTTGATCTTCCTGACATAAGCTTGTTTCGTAAGCTCTGGTGATTAGTCAAGTATTTGTGAGGCCCTCGTGCAGTGATGTATATGCACCCTCAAAGCCATTAGGGCACTGTTGGAAAAAGTTCCTTACGATGAGAACTTCTACTTTAAACTGCCCAGTTATGCGTGAGGTTGGTTGGTTGTTTTATTTTTTGTTTTTTTTTTTTGTTTCCAGCCTCAAAGTTCTTGGTGCTTTGTGCTCACATATGTATGTTATGCACAGGAGAACTTGAATGTTTCTTCCTTGCATGAAAAAACAACTAGTAGCTTGTATGTTTTTAGTCATTTAGTTGCATGGGTTGGTTAAGACATGTAGTTTGGCCTGCGCTGGACTTTGAGATGTGCTTTTGAATAAAGTTACGTGGACACTTATGTAATGCAGGAGACATAGGTGGGAACGTAGCTTTGCTGTGAACTGCGCTGCTGAACGATTGGGCACGTAACCTTCTGTGAAAGTGAAATTACATGGAAAATTGTTTCATGTATAAACATGCTGAAAGTCTGTTTTGCTTGCCATGTGTTTGTTGGTAAGCTACTGTCCGAGCCCTCTGAAGGCTTTGCCCCCCACATTTACTCCTTCACGCGTTTGCATTGGACACAGCTGCACTGTGACTGGTGTAGAGAAAGGTCCCACTGTACTTCTATGGGCTGTTCGGAGGTGGGAACAGTTGTTGGAAGCCCCCCCCGCCCCAACTGACCATAGTAGGAAAACTGTTCTATGCAAAGAAAAGTGTTCATATCCTGCTTCGTTCCTGATTATTACTAGCATTGTGAGAATGTCCTTAAATATTATTTTGTAATAGCGGAGTCCAACTTTTTTTAGAGCCTTGGCTCTTTCTCTTTCTTCTCTCTGAGTGTGTGGGCAAAAGCCATTTGATGTCTTTTTCTAATTTGATGGTGCCAGATGAGCCTATAACGAAGTCAGTTGTGCTATCAGGATTCCATCAACTGATTGTGTGTGAGATTGTGGAGCTCCTCCCTTTTTCCTCTGTATTGAGGAACAGGGCTGATAACATTGTTGAGCATGGTGTCTGCCCTGATATAATCTTTTTCATTGGGCCACACCCCCCAGCAGTCTCCATTGATCAAATGTGAGTTCTGTGTAAGTCCCTTGGCAATGCGTGACACTGAACTCAACTCTCCCATTAAGCAGCCTTTAACACAATCAGCATGTAACTGACACTTAATATCTCATTGTTTATAATCAGTAGGGTTTCACCTTTGACCAGATCCTCTCCTGCACTCTCTCCCTTAAAATTGGAGCATGCAGCGGCTGCTGCTTTTCTTTTTTTAGCACACCTCTTCTATATACAGAAACATACATGTACCCTCATGTCTTTGGAGGCTGATAAGCTTTGTGTTTGTGGTTGCAGCTATGCTAAGAAAGACGCTGACCTGGCCAGTTCTCAGGCCCGGCTGAAGGATGTGGAGACATTGCTGAACTCTAAAGAGGCTGGTCTCGCCACTGCGCTGTCTGAGAAGAAAGCCCTCGAGGGCACACTGGTTGATCTGCAAGCCCAGATCCAGGAGGTACCCCTGAAATCTATTATTGATAGGTTTATAGTGTTTTTGTTGAAGATGATGATGATGATGATGATGATTTTTATAATATTATTTGTACATCTGAAAGCAGCTTTCATGTTTAAATAAGCTGCATAAGTTCTAATTTGAATTAAACAAATGTACATGTATAACTTTACTCGACTTCTGTGGTCTTCAGCTTGAGGCAGGTTTGGCCTCTGCTAAGAAGCAGCTAGGGGATGAGACTCTGCTGAGAGTGGACCTGGAGAACCGCTGCCAGAGCCTGGCGGAGGAGCTTGAGTTCCGCAAGAATATGTTTGAAGAGGTAAGCAACCTGATTTCATAGGAGACACATTCAGTATTTTAACACAGCAAAAAATAACTGGCTGAGAACATAATAATGGCCTATAAATACTAGCCTTACATAATTATGTTAATGTTTCATTTTATTAGAACATTTAACATTTATAAAAGAACAGTATTTGAAGCAGTTGTGCTTTAGTGACCCAATCTAATGCTGTAGCTAAGTTAATGTTTTCCACAGATTTGAAAAACGTTTGTGCTGAATTAGGGAGGAAAGGGCCAGAGGGGGACACTGAATGTAAAGAATAAATAAGTAAAATTCATAATGACTTGCTTTGGCTATTACAAATGCACGCAGTTTTAAGTACTAAAAGATTTTACTCTGGTAGGTCACAGTACAGCAGCATTTTTATTTTATATTATTTTTACATGTGCAAAACAAAACAATTTTATTTAAAAAAAAAAAATGGGCAGGTGTGCACGTGCTGCACCGCCAAAGTATATTTGTGTGTGTGTGGCAAGTTTACAACTAGAATCGTCTGAGCTGGTATTGAACTTGATCTAATATAATCAGATAATAAAGATCTAGCCAAACAAATCCGATATGGCAGTTAGACTCTAGATCAGTCTAACATGGAATTTATTTGTATTGTTGATCACAAGCAATCCCAGTGTGCACTATGAATAACAGCTATTTTGTTCACAGCCTTTGAAACGTGCTGTAGCACAGATAGATAATATTGACAATGTTCCATTGACAGCTCTTCACACACTGTAATTACCCCTGAGGACAGAGTCCCACAGTGTTTATCACTGTCTGATTAGGTGTGCCCTCACTGACCTGAAAGTGTTTTCAGTGTGACTCCGACATGTAGTATTAAAAGACCAGGTCAGTTTGCCGGAAAGTGAAACCATAGTAAAAATGTAATGTGCAGGGTTTTCCATGTTAAAGGAGGGGAGGAGTGTTTGGCTTGGTTCATGTCTTTCCAGAGAATTTGAGACAAGTATATTTCCTTGTTATCAAATAGGAAGACTTTCTAGTGGTTCACTTTAATCTGATAATTTCAGGTTCAGCTGTAATTTAATGAACTCTAGTGCAACATACCAACTTAATGTAAATTAAGTTGAAACTCGAAACGGTTACTTAGCTAGATGGAGTAAACATTGGTTAGCAGCAACATAAGCTATTGTGCATCCTGTAAATCTAGCTTTTACTCTTTCACTGTAAATTGGTGACTCATGCAAGGTGGATGTGCGAGTTTTTCAAATGAAACTGAAATGATAATGCTGAAAAAGAAATATGCACAAAGAAGTTCCAGACTCTTTGAACTAAAGTGCGCTGCCTTACATACAACAACTGCAAACCTTGGGAGGCCATGTTTATACACAATTATTCCTTTTGACCAGTTATCTCAGTTTTTCACCATTGTTTCTGACCTTTCTCTAACCCCAGTTTCGTTATTTTTACCTCTGCATTCCCGCCCCTGTTTCAGTGTGTGAATGACTTGGGCGCAGACCTTTCAGCATGCATTGTAAAATGCAAGCATATTGTACTCTGTGTTGACCACTTGTCACTATGTTCACTCAACTTGCAGGAGATCAAGGACACCCGGCGCAGGCATGAGACCAGGCTGGTGGAGGTGGACTCGGGCCGCCAGATAGAGTATGAGTTCAAGCTGGCCCAGGCCCTGGCTGACATGAGACAGCAGCATGATGAGCAAGTAAAACTCTACAAGGAAGAGATGGAGCAGACGTACTTGGCCAAGGTGACTGTATTCACTAATTCTATGCTGTAGTGTTGGTGAGGCAAGAGTGAGGTGTTGGCAGCTTGTCGTGCCGGCTGTCGCACCTTAATTTCTTGAAAAAACTTTATTTTCTAACTCCCTTTTTACCCTCCTGGTACTTCTTAACCTTCTATTCCACAATTGTGCAGGATAGCAGGCCCATTTTGCTCACTTTACAATTAAGTGATACAATTTTAATGACAATAGAATGATTAATAATGAAGAGTTTGAGTAAATCACTAAATCACTAAAGCACTAAAGCAGCTGTACTTGGTCCCCGTATCTCTCTGTGGACATTTGAACCTTCTTTCTAGCGTCTTGTGGATGATTTGTTTCTGCTCCAGACAGTTTGCCTCAGACAAGGTATTTTTGGCGGTTTTTCATCCATCACAACTGATTCATATCTGTTGGAGTATGTATGCATGTATGTAGTCATATTTCTTAAATAGGTCTGTTGTCTACAAGCAACATTGTGCAGCAGTGGAATGGATGTAGCTATAAGTAAATGAAGTGCCACATCTATCCCTTTAGAGGGATCACTGCAGTCATCATTTAATGCATATTGTTTCTCAGGAAAATATCTTCAAGTATCACAATGTTACTTTTGCTATATTGCCCACCTCCATTTTAAAGGACCTTTGAAGTTAGAAATTGTAATTCTGACATCAGAAACATGAGGAATTTTAAAAGAAGATGAAGATCAGGATCTGTTGGATAATTTCACTAGGCCTCATTTTAGTCCTTTAAATTAATACAGTAGTTAGGGGTTTATAAACAACTATTTTTGCACAGTCATTTCATAACTTATGATTCATTCATGACGAATCACAAAATTACAGCTGAAAATCTGTATGTGAGTCTGTCAGAATCCTTAAATGGCTTTGGGTTTTTGTTAAGAGAAAGTGTGACTTCAGGGAAATTTCAGTTTAAATCGAAAGGATCATGTGATCCCTCATGCTGAAACATTTTCAGTTTTACTATGAGTCTGTAAAAAAGTGCCATAAAGTAGCCTGTGTGCAGGCTTAATAAACTTGCTTTTTAGCTGCTTTTAGCAGTTTTATGCACTTTATTTCTGCACATCTGATCTGTCAAGATGACTGACAGTTTTGTATCAGAAAGGTGACCTTGCAAGATATTGGCATAACTACAAGGTACAGTGCATACACTGTGAAGGTTGCTTGTGGGTAGTGCCACTGCAGTTCATGTAATAATTTTGCATCAGTTTGATTGTTTTGAGTTCCTGGAGATCAAGCCCCCGGATTTCTAATCTAGTCTTGACACCTCTGTCTTGCTTTTTCATCATCTGCAGTTGTGTTGCACTTCCTTCCAGTCTCCAAGCAGACCTCGCGCTTCAGTTCCTCCCTTTGCTAGTGCATCTTAAATTTGAGCTTGTTTCACAAGACTGTCATACTGAGTTTTCTGCTGTGTGTTTCAGCTGGAGAACGTACGTCTTTCGTCAGAGATGAACAGCAGTTCGGCTAGCATGGCTCGTGAGGAGCTGAAGGAGTCTGCTCTGAGGGTCGAGAGTCTGTCAGCTCAGCTGGCCAGCCTGCAAAGGGAGGTACGTATCACCAGAGTCACACACTTACTCAGTTCTACTGACTATTCAATCTTACAGCTGGGAAATTGTCAGACCATGTTAATGCTGGGAATTCAGTAAAATTGGCACCCCATGTTGCTGTGACAAGGAGTGAAATGCACACTTGGTGTATTTTTGGTATTTCATATTTTCTGTGGTGCATTCTGGTCACAAAAGCTTTTAAATATGTGATAAACTGCTGAAAGCTGGAATGAGCTTTATATTGTTTGAAAGATTGCATATAATCTACATAATGAGGAAAGTTTGTAACTGCACGTAACTAAAGTAGAAGCTTGAGTAAGCAGGAACTTCCTGTTTTTACATACAGCTGGTCAAGGCATATATAATGTCCTCCATTTCACAACTGGCAGTCAGTGTTGGCATGTTGAAGGGCCCCTTGTCTGCTTCACTCCCTGCTTGTGCAATTATGTAGAAAACAAGAATGTTTGTTCTTTTTCAAACTCATTTTCCAATTCTGTTAGTTTTGCATTGATGAGTGTTTAGGCAGTGCTGTGAAAGGGTCAAAGTGGCATTGCATATAGATTGCCAGAATCTTCAGGTTTAGAAAGATTGATGTTGGAGCTAGCAGGTTATCTCAGCTAGGCTTGTTGGCTGTAAATTTGACAGGCTGTCTATTTTGGTTGTCACTCATAAACTGTGACATCCTGCTTGTTCTCATGAAGAGAAGCCAGTTTGTTAACCGTGTCCTCTTGTTTGGCATACTGCTTCTTGGTCTGTGACAGTGTTGTGATTGCCATGTGTTCTGTTTTGGCAAACTGCACATTTTGCTTGAAACTCATGTAGGTTGCCTGCCAAATGTTAGACTTTTAGAATGATGGCAGAAGTATACTTCAGTGTAGGGTTTACTGTATTTGACAGGAAGGAGAGACAAGTTGAACAGAGGCTGCAGAAGCACAGAGGGAGGGGAGTGGCAGGTAAATGAGAGCAGAAATGTAAGAGCAGACAGCTGAAAAACTTTGAGTAAGGTTAGACAGTCAGTAGTAAGCCAGATATATAACCTGCTTAGAGGAAGGCTGCAGTGTCAGTGGTCATAGTGTATGGTGTTTACAGTAGAAAGTTTTAAAATACATGTTTTGGTCCAATATTCTTGCTGCCTCTCTGCTCCCTTCTCTGTGTAGGCCCGAGCCTGGCAGGACCGTATCAATGAGCTAGAGGCTTCTCTGGCTCAGGAAAAGGACCTGAGCCGCAGGATGCTGGCAGATAAAGAGCGCGAGATCGCCGAGATCCGAGCTAAGATGCAGCAGCAACTGGAGGAATATGAGCAGCTGCTGGATGTCAAATTGGCCCTAGACATGGAAATCAATGCCTACAGGAAGCTGCTTGAAGGAGAGGAGGAGAGGTCAGACTCTAAACATTTTGTTGTGAGGGACTACTTTTTGGAAATTACCATTTTGTGTATAGAAATATTCTTTTGCTGGCTTTGAACTTGCTGTTACTCTTGTTGTTAACTGTGTCGGTAGTGCAGTGCAGGGTTTATTTGTGGTTATGTTTAACCATGTTTTGATAGTGGCTAGCTTAACCACAGCTGACACTAGGGGCTGATCATCAGAGCAAATATTTATAATTTTTCAGATGATTGAAATCAGCATTTGAACCTGTTCTCTTGACAGTAAAAAAGTTTATTTTAATTTAGTAATGTTCAAATGTTCATTCACTTAATAATTCATTTTATGTAAGAGTTGTGTACCTGTACATTTTTGCAGTATGAACTTGCCAGTTGGCAACTGATGGCACATGAGTATCGGCCTAATATGTTATCGGTATCTTTGTCTACCGATTTTTGGTATCAGCCCGGAAGTACACATATCGGTCGACCCCTAGTTGAAACACTGGCCATGCAGGCATTAGAAGTAAGCTTTATTGGTTATTATTATTTATTATATAATTTGTGAATGTCTGTCACCTGTGACCTGGCGTAAGTACAGCATGATCTGCTAAAGCTGTCTAGGATTAGAACTGGAAACAAAACATCCTTAATGTAGCTTTCTTTCTTGTATCCTCTATTCTTTGTGTGTTTACATTGTGCTCTGTCTCTCACTTTCTCTGTCTTCGTTTTTCTGTGTTGGTTAGGTTGAAGCTCTCTCCAAGTCCATCATCTCGCGTAACGGTGTCCCGGGCCTCATCCAGCCGCAGCGTTCGAACCACACGTGGGAAGAGGAAGCGTGTGGACGTGGAGGAGTCAGAGGCCAGCAGCAGTGTCAGCATTGCCCACTCGGCCTCCGCCACTGGCAATGTCTGCATCGACGAGCTTGACGTGGACGGCAAGTTCATCCGTCTGCACAACACGTCTGATCAGGTCAGAGCCACCGAGGGGCATGTGTTCCTAAGTTTTCTCTCAGCTTTGAGTGAAATGTGGTTTGCCATAATCTGTTCAAGAAAGCCTTCTTGGCTTGCTGATATTCCTTCCTACAGACGTTTGCTGCTGTATGCTTGCTTTTTAATGCTAATGCAGGATGTTTTGTATTTGTAGGACCAGCCAATGGTAGGCTTTGAGATGACCAGAACTATTGGGGATGCTTCTGCTACCTACAAGTTCACTCCCAAATATGTCCTCAAGGCTGGTCAGAAAGTCACTGTAAGTGTCTCTTGCTCTTTATCATATGCATGTTAATTGTATAGCTTTTTTACTGAAATTGTAGGGCTGTAACAATGCTTTGTGACGTTTATATTACAAAATGTGACAGTGCGTTATGATGCGTTGTGATTTAATGCAGTTACTTTGTTTGATGCTGGTTGAAATATATATTTTCATATATCATACTTCACCCAGCTCTAGATTCAGAAGTTGTGCAACAACATGGATACAGTCACTGTTCTTGCAGATTTTGTGTAATGTTGTGAACCCAGTATTGCACTGATTTCATTACCCTGGTTGGAGTATCCCTTGCTTCCACATTTTAGTATTTTGGGCTCCCAACACAGCAACTTCCTTCCATGTCAGTGAGTTGATTAGTTGGGTCAGGTGTGTTGAGCAGGGAAGCACTAAAATGTGCAGAACAGGGCGTGCTCCAGGACAAGGGTTGAGGACCCACTGCAATATTGAATTGACTTGTGTGCAAAGTATATGGTTACTCCCCTGTTAAATCAATATGAACTATAATTCACCTTGTTAACATTCACATTTACTGAAGCGCAGTATTCCTTATATATATGTGTGTGTGTGTGTGTGTGTGTGTGTGTGTATATGTATGTATGTATGTATATATATATATATATATATATATATATATATATATATATATATATATATATATATATATATATATATATATGTATGTGTGTATGTATGTATAAAGGGTTACCATAAATTTTCTTGACGTGACCTTTTTCTAATTGACTGCTCTTTGTTTTTTTAGATTTGGGCATCTAATGCTGGAGTGAGCTCCAGCCCTCCAACTGACCTCATCTGGAAGAGCCAGAGCTCCTGGGGCACTGGGGAGAATGTGAAAGTTGTCCTGACTAATGCAGATGGAGAGGTAAGAATCCATACTGTTTTAGATACACAAGTGTCTTGTGCACATTAAGAGCAGCATTTGGCAAAAGTCGTGGCACTAGAAGCGCAGATGTGTTTGTGAAACGTAGTTCCTTTAATGTCCAGCAGGTGGCAGTATAGATGTGTTTAGATATGATATCTGAAGTGTAATGTTTTCCTTGACAGGAAGTGGCTGTAAGAAGTACAGTGTTCAAAACCGCCACAGTAGAGGAGGAGGAAGAGGATGATGAGGGCGTGGAGGTTGTTGAGGAACATCTCTTCCACCAGCAGGTTAGACACAATATTTTTCACTAATGCTAAGATGAGGAGAAACAGTGACTGCATCAGGTGATGATCTTGCATGGGGTGTGAAGACTCGAGCTCTTTCTTTCTGCTACGTAGTAATGAGATGTGCTTGTTGCCAGAATCTTTTAGGTAAATCAGCTTTTTGGCACATTCTGCATGTGTTTTAATGCTGCATGTACAATTTGGGTTACTTCCTGATCTGGCGTCTGTCTCATGGCGCGTTCAATTCAGGGTAAAGACAGCGTTCCTGACTCATAATACCTAATAAATGCAATCCTGGATTTAAAATAATTAAAGATGTGACATCAGCCTAGCCAAATAGGACCAGAGGGGTCCACCTTAATTTAGAAAGTTGTCCTTGATTGGTCAAAAAGCTGTTTATTGTCTGAAATCCTGATCTTAACCTGCAAAAGAGCAGGTTAAGAATGTAGCAGAGGCTGACTTTGTGATGTAGTAAAAAGTGATCCACTGTCATTAACAGTTAAGCCAGAAATTCTGTGTGAGACAGACCCCTGGTCTGCCTTTCAGTGAAAGTTTTACTAAGTAAGACAGCGCATTCTTGCACTCTGATTGCATTGCCTAACTCATTATGTGCATCTTTCACTCTTCAGCATATTTATGTAATGTGAAATAATGGTGAAAACCTGGTATGTTTTGCAGGGAGATCCACGTGCTACCAAGAGGGGCTGCTCAATCATGTGAGCACAGCAACACTACCTTTCCACTACAGTCTCAGCTGCCAATACTATAACCACCTCAGAACTATTTTTATATCAGTAGTGTATTATAAACGGAGTGATTTTCTCCTTTTCCCTTGTCCTAAAATAGTTTTAAATGATTGTAAACCTCTTTTGGTACATTTTCTATTTTTATTTTGTAAGTGAACGCATACGTGCATAAGTACGCATCACAACTTTCTTTCTATGAACCAAAATTTTTATGATCATTGGGGGACTGTGACCGTTTAGGCAGCTTTTGCAAAATCTCCCAGTCTCCCAGGTGCTGTGATCTTACCTTTTTAATGTGTATCTCATTTTTTTTTTTTTAAGATAGCATTTTAAAGGCCTCTTTATAGAAAAGCTGTCATTTTATACTAGCTTTCTAGTTTTTAGTTGGAGAGGTTTGTTGCATATAATGGAATGTAGACTAGCTCAAGGCATGGGAGTCAGAATGGATTGCAGTTTCATTAGTCGCTTTTGAAGAGCAGGCTGCCATTTACACTCACTTAGCTAAATGTGTTTATTCCTGAGGACTTTCACTCAGGCAAAGACTGCAGTCCACCACATGGTGTCAGTCTAGAGTCTCAGAAGGCAGTCTGATGAACAGCAGTCAAAACTGAGAAGCTTCGTAGACCTTTGATTGTAAGCTTTTCAAAAAATGATTGAGCTGAAGAGTAACACTTAAACCAGGTGTTTTAGTCTTCGTGAATCACTATACGTAACTCTTGAAGGTTACTGTTAGTCACTGAACATGCCAGTATACACTGAGAATAACTCCCTGCAAATATGTTCAATTGAAAGTTTTGAGCCATTATAATATGGAAGCTAGCATCATGCTCTTATTGAGCTACTGTATCTTACCAGCAGTTATGTATGCGCACTATTGGCTACACAGTATCTAGTTTATTTTGCTTAGACACTAGCATATATTTATGCAGCTGACTGCAGCAGCGTCACATAAATAATTACCTCTCATAATAAACTGCCCAAGGTTGGAATTGCTTGTTATTTTATGCCCTTTTGTCTGTCGTATCTAACTGACAGTAGTCTTATGCCTACATTTTGATTTTCCATCTTAACCATTATTAGAATTGTGGGTTGTCATGTCACTTGCATGCTTATTTTGCTGTAACCTTTACTGTTTGAAAGGTTAATAAATGTTGTTGTATTTTCTACCTAGCCTGTCTTGTGAAGGTGTTTTTTTTTATTTTTTTTTTTTTTTTTTAATAAATGGCCTTAGAACATTTTTAGCAGTAGAGGAGTAGTGATGCCTTAGCAGATTTCATGTTTAGAATATTTTTTGGAGAGAACATTTTAGACTGTTTTCATATCTAGTTTGTTTGCAGAGTTTGCTTTTGTGACATTGAATCTTTATTTTCATTTGGCGCAGTTGGTCTCACTGCAGCGACTAAAGTGCAGCAAATTACACGTGGGTGTTTGTTGGTCAGCAATTTTGCAGGGATGAAAGCACTTGCTTACTCTCACATTTGTGATGAAAATGGAGACGTCTGTGTCACAATCAAAGCAATAACAAAAAACCTTGTCTGATATCTGCTTCTTTGTGATTGGTTTGTCAGTTTGAATTTAGCTGCTGATGTTTAGCCAAAAATATGTTCTGCGGTCCATGTGCCAAAATCAAACACCTGTTCGCCGTTATTTTACTGCTCGCCTGCTGTAGTTAGGAGTCCATGTTGTAAGAATATGAGCATCTGTGAAGAGTCAGATGTTGATACAGGCAGATTATACAGACAGTGTAGAGTTGATGTGCTGCTAGAAGAGGAAAAGTGCTTTGATGCTCAATTCCCTCATTTGGTGCGGACCAGGCTGGATCACCCAGTGGGTGTTATGGGCGCACCAGGGGGCCCCATGAGCAATGATGAGAATCCAAACAGCTGTTTTTGAGTCATGGTGGGAACTTCACTAGCAGCACAGTGGAGGGGGAAAATGAACTAATTTGTCACTTTTACAGTTACGTTCTCCACATCTTTCCTAAACGTCTGGTTCATTTTCTCCTGCAATCACGGCTCAGCAACAGATATTTAAAAGGTGTGGCTGGTGAATCTGTAAAAATGATAGAGCAGTGTTTCTCAGCCCTGGTCTTGGAGCCTCACTGCCCTGCACTTTTTAGTGTCTTTACTGCTCCCAACACACCTGGTCCAACTAATCACCTATTTAACAGCCCAGTTCTGAGTTAGAGTGGCTGTGTTAAAGCAGGAAAGGCATGAAAATGTGCAGGGCAGTGGGGCTCCAGGATGAGTTTGAGAAACAATTTGAAAAAATTCTGACCATCCAAAAAAGGTAGCCAGGTAGGGACCCACCAGATATCTCTGCCCAGGGGCCATAATTTGAGGATCCGAGCCTGGTGTAGACAATCACAAAAATAAATTCCCACTTGCAGTGAACTGATCACTATTCAGTTCACTTAAGTGTATGTAGACCTCCAGACTATTATTCATATATCAAGGGTTCAACCAAGTATGTACTCGGACTGAACTAAAGAAACGGTTTGATTGATCCGCACCAAACAAGGAAGGTGTGAAAGCACTCATACATTGGCCATGAGTCATGTAAAATGATTGACAATTGAGGCATTGTGATTTAGCTAGACTGCGCTTAGATCTACATTTTGCTCATGATTTATTTTTTTAATACAGCCAGCATGACAATCATCTGGATCTGTGCATGACAGTGCACTGATTTGTGTGATTCAGATGTAAATGTCATTCTGATATCTACTGATGTGCGACAGCAGCAGAATTTACACTGATTTATTAAGGACTGAAATCTTCACTCTTTTGAGAGTGGACATATATTCCTAAATAGTTCTATGCCTGTTGCCCCGTCACCTTTTTTTTTCCCCCCCATTTTGCTAGATGTTTGAGACTACTGCAGTCAATTCATACCACTAATTTGTCTGTTTATTGGCCCACCTACCTTGTACTTCTACTCATTGGCCATTTTATCAGAAACACCTCATAGGTGCACTTTGTAGGTTTACAGTTACTAACTGTGGCCTGTCTGTTTCTCTGCATAACTTATCAGCTCTCTGCCCCATCCATCGAGGGAAGGAGACCACTGATGAGCACAGTAACACCTCCATGCCTGATAGACTCGTACCAGCAGTTAATACACTGCCTTGCTGCTACCATGTCAGTGTCACTACTGTGCTGAAAATAATCCGCCACCCAAAATAATATTTGGTTAGCAGAGACGGGATGATAAACTGTGCAGCAACAGATGGACTACATTCAGTAATTGTTGAACTACAAAGTATTCCAGTATGGTGGGTGTACTTGATGAAATGGGCAATGAGTGCGGGCACAAGGTAATAGATAGCAGGTGTAGGAAATAAATTGGGAATTTGAATATATATATATATATATATATATATATATATATATATATATATGTGTGTCATATTTCCTAGAAAACCAACATTACATAACATGAAGTATGTATTATAGTGAAGGTGGCCAGTATTCACCCTGAAGGCTTGTAAGACAAAAACCATTAGATGTTGCTCAGCACTGAGCGCAAGACTCCACTGGCAAGTATAGAGTGAAAAAGTCATGATAAGTTTAACAGCTTATAATGATTTGTTTAATAAATAAGGAAAATCAGTGTAATCTATGTACTTTTTTGTCTTCATTGTAATACTGTCACTATATGACAATATACAACCCTGTTTTCAAACAAGTTTGGATGCTGTGCAAAATATAAATAAAATGCAAATCATTTAAACCCTGCATTTAATTGAACATAGTGCAAAGACAACATATCAATTGTTGAAACTGAGAATAGTTTTTTTTTTTAAATTATTTCCATTTTGAATTTGATGCCGGTAACACATTTCAAAAAAGTTGGGATGGGGGCAACAAAAGACTGGTCAGGTTGTGTAATGCTAAAACACCTGGTGGAACATCTAACATCTAATTAGGTAAAATGGCAACAGCTCAGTGACATTATTGGGTATAAAAACAGCATCTCAGAGAGACTGAGTCTTTTAGAATTGAAGATGAGGAGGGGTTCACCACTCTGTGAAAGACTGAGCAGGCAAATAGTGCAACAATTCAAGAATAACATTTCTAAACATAAAATAGCAAAGATTTTGGGCATTTCATCATTTATGGTACATGATATCATCAAAAGACTCAGAGAATCCAGAGAAATCTCTGTATGCAAGGGACAAGGCCAAAAACCAGTATTGGCTGGCCATGATCTTTGGGCCCTCAGGCGGCACTGCATTAAAAACAGACATAATTCTGTAGTGATCATCACTGCATAGGCTCAGAAACACTTCTGAAAAACACAAATGCAAGTTAAAACTCTACCACGCAAAGAGGAAAACATAAACATATAAACAGGATCCAGGAACAACATTGCCCTCTCTGGTACCAAGCTCATTGAAGATGGACTGAGGTGAAGTAAAAAAATGTCCTGTGGTCCAATTAATGAAAATATGAAATTAGAAAATATTGGAAATATTTTGCTAAAAGGAGAGGGACCATCTGTCTTGTTATCAGCGCACAGTTCAAAAGTCAGCATCAGTGATGGTATAGGGGTGTATTAATGCACATGGCATGGTTGACTTGCACATCTGCAAAGGCACCATTAATGCTGAACAACAAATACAGGTTTTGGAGCAACATACGCTCCAGACCTGTCACCACTGAAAAGATTTGGCACATTATGAAGGGAAAAATATGACAAAGGAGAGCCCGAACTGTTGAGCAGCTGAAATCCTATATCAAACAAAAATGGGAAAACATTCCACTCATGTTTCACTACAGCAACTGGTCTCAGTTCCCAAACGCTTAGAGTTTGTTAAAAGAAGAGATGATGTAACACAGTGGTAAATATGCCCCTTTTTTTAAATGTGTTGCTGGCATCAAATTCAAAATGGGCAAATATAATATATAAAAAACAAATTTCTCTGTTTGAACATTTGCTATGTTGTCTTTATATTACTTTCAATTAAATATAAGGTTTAAATGATTTCATTGCATCACTGCATTATGTTTTTATTTACTTTTTGCACAGCGTTCAAAATACGTAGCTGTTAAAGGTTTGTAAGTGAGTGACATTGTTTGTTATTCAAAGTATTGTAGTCTGGAGATAGCTGAAAGCCTTCTATTGAATTGAGTTTAAAGGGGAACTCCAATGTTAAGATGTAAATGAAGTCATTCAGAGTGGTCTGATGTAATTTTCCGTTCCAGAGAAGCTTAATGAGTCAGAATTGTTCACAGTGGTGGTGATAGGAACCAGACATCTAAAGAGCTTAATGTCTCTAAACGCTCTAAAATGGTTACAAATAGTTCTGAGTTAAACTTTGCACCAATTTTTAAAAATATATTCATACTTTAGAAGTGCATGCAGGGTGTTATAAGTCAAAATAGTCCCCAAAGAAAATATGTTTTTTTCCAGACTTCAGTTTTAACATATGTGGGTAGGTACTTTGGCATTTTTTTTAGACTAAGAGTGAATCAAAAACAGAAGAATAACACTTAACAAACTCCAGATAGATGCTAGATGTACTAAGAAGATCCACTACAGTTCTAAAATGCTCAGCACTAAGTAGGTTCTTTGATACATTTGGTACTTCTATTTGATTTCACTGAAGTAACAGTACTTTTGCTTGATTATGGTTTGGGTTACTCTCTCCACCTTTGAGTTTCACTATTATCACTTTAAGTGAAATCACACCAGTCAGTGGTGTACATCCCTTTAGTGATCACATGAACAACAACCGGAACTTTGATTGTAGAGTCAACCTTAACTATTTAAAATTAAGTGGAAATCTGAGGAAAAAAAAAAAAACAGCGTCCTAAAATTTTCTGATTAACTCAAGTGGAGTATTGGTTGTGAGTTAGCTGCAAACCCACTTTGAATGACGACTCAATAACTGCAGTGTTTATATCATTACTGGAACACCCTGCAGGCAAAATCAGTGAAACAGTGTTGAAAATTTTATTCAATTTACAAAAAAAGTGGTCATCATATTTGGTAAACTCAAGAAGTTGTTTAGAACTCACTTCAACAAAAATGTGCTGTAAATATTGTCAGTGTCTGTCCGACCTGCGAGCCCTTTCACCTGAATACAAAAACAAGCGTTAACTAGTTACACATCACAGTGAGGATATCTTATGGTAGTAGAGAGTTCTGAGCAGACCATGGTTTTTTCAGAGGCAGCCATTTGACTTATTTGATTGTGTTTTAAATGTTCCTCTTCACGGTTTGTGTGAGAGAATTCAAGTCCAGTGCACACCACAGAAGAGTCATTATCTTAAGGCCAAAAGCTTGGACTGAATGTTTGTCTCATGGTGGCGTGCTCGTCTGTTACAGAGCTTGAGGTCACCCACAATAAAACGTCCATCAGAACATACGACATTAACTCAGAAATAATCACTTGTGAAGTTTCAATAAAAGAAAAAAAGCATGAAAGGCTTTTAATATTACAATTTTCATGTACAGGGACCCATATTGAAAACATACTTCATGTCACATTGCAATTTAGAATGGTCCGCCACAGTTTCCAAAGGCTCACAGAGAACGGAGGGAAAAAAGGACTGATGGTCTACTTGGAAGAAAGAAATCAAAATGAGGAATTCACCAGACCAGCATTTGTGTTTTGCTTCTCTCAGTTTTCAGCCACTTTGCGTCAGAACTGTTCTGAATTCACTACATGTTCAAAGGTTTGTAGACACCCTCATCCAACGCTTCCTCTGAAATCAAGGGAGTTTGTCCCTCCTTTGCTGCAGTAACAGCCTCTACTCTTCTGGAAAGCCTTTACACTAGATGTTGGAACACTGCTCTGAGGATTTGATTGCATTCAGCCACGAGCATTAGGGAGGTCAGGCACTGATGTTGAATGATTACGCACTTAAAACGATGGCTTATCAAGTGTTCTCCAGTAAAAGGTTTTATACAGAACCATTAACACTCAAAGAACCCTTTGCATGATTAAAGGGCTCTTTGCACTGTGAAAGGGTTCTCCAGATTCATGGGGAATATATATATATATATATATATATATATATATATATATATAAGGGTTCTATGTAGCACCAAAAAGGGGTCTTCTATTGTTACAAGCTTGACAACCCTTTATGGTGCTATATAGAACCCTTTCACAATGCAAAGAACCCTTTAATAATGCAAACCATTTTCTTTACTAAAGAACCCCTGAAGAACCCACTCCAACTCATTCCAAAGCTACTGGACTGAGCTCCATCACTCCAGCACACAGTACCACTGCTCCCCAGCCCAGTACTGGAGGGATTTATGTACCTTTAGCTGATGCTTGGCAATGAGCATGGTGACCTTAGGCTCCTGCTGCTCCAGAGTACAATGCTTTTCTATGGAGAAGCTATGTGAGCCCAATCGAGCGCCTGTGTTTGTAGTAGGTGCACTTGATTCACTAATTAGAACTTTTGGACATACAGTGTATAAAAGATAGCTAGTGAATTCTGAACTAGGCCTCTTAGCATGTATGTTTGGCAAGATATTCTCTCTGGACTGAATATATTGGCACACATCACTTCGTTATTCAAAGAGAGTCCAGCTGAAAACAAAAATGACCCCATGCTGATGAAGAACAAACATCAACATCCAGAAGAAAACTATTCAGTCTAAATGCTTGGGTAGTAAACGGTTATTGATCCTCGTTGCACGCAGTAACTGAGATGTCCCGAAGAGCTCACAAATAATGTTAGCAACACGCTAACACTATCAAAGGAAAGATCACAGCCAACAGCTGGCTTTCCTCAAAGCTCTGAAACAACAATCCACAGCGTCACAATTCATCAGTAGTCTTTTCAGAGTTAAACAGGAGGGTCAGCGTCACCAGCGTGTCTCAGGAAATCCATTCAGGTCAACCGCTAAGTCCCAACTCTTGCGTCTATAGTCCTCAGGCCTGGAACATTCCTCTCTTCAATTCAATTCAATGTTCAGTTCAATGTCCAGTCACACTATGGTTTCTTTGGACGGTCGTTTGGCACGTGCCAGTCCAGGCAGCGATGGGTTGCCCAGTGATTCTCCATGTGATTTGGGCAGCAGGAGCACCACACGCTGATTGGTCTGACGCCATTCATTATACAGACGGCAGTGATACCTGAGGGACACCTACAACAGAGAGACACAGCGAGAGGTTAGACCTGCTCAGGGAAAGACTGAATTGCTCAGGAGCAAAATCATAATCATGATACAAATCTTTCTTTCCTTCTTCTTTATTATCTCACAACGAGAACATTGGTTTGCAGTCATAGGACATACATCAAAGACAACCAATCTCAAGCAAGAAGCTATAACAGGTTACATTTTCACTTATTCCTACTGGTTAACAACAAGATTGCACTCAAGATAAAACAGTTCTTTAATTTGTTGCATCATATCTTTGGAAGTCTGTAGTGAGAGCTTTATGAAAGAAGCTGAAATTTTGGGGATAATTTTGTGATAAAAGAATCTACTCAGCTGTGTTTAATGTGTGCCTCTGAAATAGTTTTAATAAACACACTCCTATAAGCTGGCTGCTAATTTTAACCATGCTATTAAGGAGTTTCTTGTTCCTGATGCTCTAGATATGAACTCAGCTACTGCCTAACAGTGACTCCATGTTAGCCTTTTAAAGACATGGCTCGCTGGTGTAATATCAGCTTAAATAATTACTCCACAGAGATGGCTACCCTACATAATCTTACTGTACAACACTGACTTCTTTAACTACACAGCAATGTAATGTTAGAATTGGCCTCAGCTAGAATCAGTAAAAAGACAGCATCCACTCTTGAGATATGGAGACAGGTTTGTTTTGCTAGCAACCTCGTTTATCTCATTTCTATTCATTAACATCTTATTTAATTTATTGTCAGTGCTGTAAATGGAAAAAAGCTGATAAACATAAATGTCAAAATGAAACACTTACAAAACAAGGTCAAAAGGGTTTAGGAGGCACAGCTCATGCTGCAACTGGCAGCAAGTAGGTTACAGGTTTAGATAGATAGATAGATAGATAGATAGATAGATAGATAGATAGATGCAGCACTCTACATCTTTGGGCTGACAGCAATAACCAATTATTACAGGAATATTTCACCAAACATTGCAATTTACACCATTTACCCCTTATCTCAGTCAATTGGCAAAAACATGTTTGCTGTTAGAAGTTTGTTTTCTGTAGTTCAGTACTGGAGATACAAGCCTGATGTAGCTAAAAAAGTAATGGAAGTCTATGTACTCTCAGAAAAAAAGGTACTAAATCACCATATATGAAGTGTAGTGAGTGTAATGAATCATTGATTAATTAATAACAAAAAAACAGCTGAATCAAACATAATTGTGTATATTGCACCTCTGTGAAACTCAAAAGCAAGCAACATAGTAAATATAAGCAAGAGCAACAGAGACAGTCTGTTTACAGTATAATAAGTTTTACAGTAAATTAAGACATAGAAAGAATCAGAATAGCACAGTGTAGAGAGTGTTTTTGAGCAGTGATTTAACTGTGTGATGTTTTGCTGTACTATTTAAATGTATGGTAATTTATACAATGAATTACATTCTAGTTCAATTTACATTCTCTGTTGACTCGAATCTGCACTTCTGACTTTCTTCTGTTTATTTTGATGTTTACAGATGACAAACGTGGCAAAAATGTAAAAGATGTTTTTCTTTCCGTGAAGTAAGACTGCATGCATAACGTTACCTTTTCATCAAGTTCAAATCATAATAAAACATGTCCTACTTACAAACACAAATGCAGTATTAATTAAAAATATAACATCTGCACTTTCTGCAGAAAATCGCCGGCAGTTAGAACAACAACGATTTCTAAGGGTTAAAGGCTGAGAGAGAGGAGAGATCACAGAGACTTTGAGGTTTCGAGCTATTACTTTAAATACGCTGCCACCCACTGGGGACAATCTGATACAGAGCACCACAAGCACATCCAAAAAAGCTCTGTCTATACTGTCGGCTTAGGGAAGAGTGCAAAAACGTGGCAAGTCATTTTTCATCATATTCCATTAGACATATGCATACATAAAAAAATGCATTCCAGCAAAACTTACAGGACCACTTTGCTTAGACAGCTACAACCAGCATTCAGTAAACATCAGTAAACAGCTGTACTGAAGTTTGTTTATTTGCACATCAGTAAGTGTAAGTAAACAGCATCTAATTTCAGGAAGATTTGGAGTTACTGGCAGCTACACGTGTGGGAATTTCTCTCAAGGGCTGCTGAGCTAGCTATCTTTGAACATCTGACTGCAGCCTAAAACCGTGGGCACGGCCTACACTTTAACATTAGACGTTTTCACGATACGATTGCTACAGAACAGATCTATCGCTTCCCAAGCCAGTATTTTAATTAGGTATTAAAGGGCCTATATTCTACATTTTTCCTTGTATTTTATCTTTTCCTTTTGAGTGTATTTGTGTGGTTTGATGCACTAAAAACAGTCATACTTCATTTTTACATTTTTCAGCGATTCTTTACGTTTTTCAATCCCTCAGATGTAAAGCCCCACCCCTCCCCAAGTCTGTTTTTTTTGTGACTGTGCCTTTAAAAGGCCCATATCATGCAAATATCATAAAAAGCATTCGATACTATTAAAGCCATTCAGTTCATTTATGGAAACAAAGCTTCAAAGGCAGCTCGTTTTGAGTCACAAAAACCAACACATTTACATACATCCATCTTTGAAGCCTTCAGCAGTTTAGCTCCGCCCATTCACGCTGGAGTTAAAAGGAGTGTTTCAGCCCTGTTTGTTTTTTGAACGAGACACAATACAGGGCAGCCAATCAAAACAGAGGTCATTTACATCTGTCAGTCTTAATGGCACAGTAACAAAAACAGCTTGTTTAATTGTAAGGGTTAAAGAGAGGTTGGAAATGGTCATGTAAAAATGAATTATGACTGTTATTGGTAGGTAAGTCCACATAAATGTTATAACTGGACGTTTGGTAGACAAAAATAAAATACAATAAGATTGCTGAATGTAGGCCCTTGAACACATATTCATGTAGGTGACCTCTGTTCTGACTGGCTGACTCTTCAATTGGAATGAGGCACACCACGTTCAAAAAGCAATCCAAGCTAAAATGTGCTGACCAAATTGTTATGTTTGGACTGAAATCCTCAGAGATGTTGAAAAAAATCAACTTTAGTCACTAATCTTGAATATCGGATTCTTTGGAAGGCCAGTAACAGCACAACCTTTAATCATTTTCCCCATATCTTACTCAGGCATCACAACCATAATGAAATCTAAACAATCTCCAGCTTAGATGTTGCAGCTTAGGTCGTGAAACTTTAACAGTGTTTCTATGACATGGGCCCTTTACTGGCACTGCGATCAACATTATCGTCTTATTATTTGATTTCCAGCCTTGTTCTTACACTCACTATACACAGAGCACAATGTGAGTTGTGCTACATGACGGATATACTAACCAGGGTCCAGAAGAGGTAAATGGTGAAGAGTGCTACAGTGAGAGCGATCAGGCCCACAGCCTCCAGTCTGCTAGAGAAGTGAAGGTGGTCCACAGCCCCTCGCAGACACAGCCAGCCTGAGATGGTGGCTAGTGGCGTAATGAGCAGGAAACACACCATGTCTCCAAACAGCGTACGCTTCTCCTGACGCAGCCCAGGGTTACGCAACCACTAGAGGAGAAGAAGAAATTGAGCAATGACTTTTTTACATGCTTTAACACAGAAGCTGCTGTTAATGATGACATATTATGATCAATAGACCAATAGAAATGATCCAAATTACCTGGAATAAAATCTTTTTACATTAACTAACTGTAAAGTTGTCATTTTGGGGTCATATGTTGGACAAAAAAAATTATATATAGCTGATTTATCTGTTTATCATCATAGATACAGCTAATCTGTTTATTGTCTTGCCTTTGTACAGTTTTATTGCAAAGCACTGAGTTCTTGCAGAAGTTGCTATATAAATAAAATGTATTCTTATTGGTAACGCTTCATTTGAAGGCCACCTACACAGGGAGTGAATAACGTATTCATGAAGCAATACTTCGGAATTTATGAACAGCTTTTGTTGGTGTTCACTAGATGACATAAGATGTTTCATGAAGTAAGTGACATTATATTGACATAAAGGTCCTTAAACTAAAGTGATGGACATTTGTCCTGTTCATAACACTGTTATGAAGCATTATTCTCATGTTATTGCACTTATGAGATACAAGCATAGTAAGAACACCTTTTATAAGCTCTATTAAGCTAAAGTGATCATTTCATTATTATTTTCCTTTAGAATGCCCTGTATCACTTCAGTTTGAGGGCATCTTTCAGATAACTGATTTGTCAGTCTTAACTAGGCGTTCGCCTCCTGAGTTCTTCGTAACAATCTAATACACGTCACTATAGTTTAAGGGTCCTTATGCCAATTTGGTGTCATTTACTTTATAAACATCTGATGTCATCTTGAGAACACTGACATAAACTGTTCATAAATACCTGAGTATTGTTTTTCTAAATATATTATTTAATGCTTATGCTCATCACAAAATCCCTATGTATGTAACTCTGTTAACATCTTTTGCTCAACCCACTTAACATCCTCTGTTACTATCTCTGCAACTATCACTGCCCACTTCATTCTTCATGAATAGAGTTGACATTGTATCTATGAGATTAAAGACACCAAATGAGAGATTATTTGTCAATATCAGAGGTAATATCGACAGTTTGCTCTGTAAATGTGGAGGGTTGCAGTGGTTAGTACTCAGATACTTGATGTTATATAAAACTAATTGGTTTCCAGGTTGTACACAAAGAGGAAGCAGCAGACATTATGCTGTCAACACCATTTGAATGTGATGTATGGGGATGCAGGGTGTAATTCCATTACTGGGCGCCGCTTACTCTAAGATGGAGCCGGTCTGGTCTTGGCCTGAATTATATTATTGTAAAATTAGCATATTACTTTCTTCAGTAGAGAGTACCATTCCACTCTAACGCAAGCAGCCTGTTAATACTCAGTAACCCTGAGACACTACAGGTGAAAAGTTTAGAAGCAGCAATAACTTTGTACACAAAAACATGAGCATTTTATCTGTTTGAGAGAGAACTGCAGTAATATACTGACTAAAAGTTTCACTTAGTGTCTGCTGCAGTCTTCAGTTGTTTTACTCCTGGTTAATTTGGAGTTTTATTGCAGCTCTAATCAGATCCGCCTGATTCTCTCATTCAGACAATCCTAAAGCCCTGATGAACTGGTTTGATTTGGAATTTGCAATTAAATTAAATGATGGTCAATTTAAGGGGCTGTTATCAGAAAAGAGAATGAAGGCTTTTCCTATATGTTACAGTAAGAGTGCAGCACTGTAAACTTGTGTCGATTGTCAACAAACTAACTTAACACCTTAACATTCATATTTTCTTACTCCTATAACTTAACAATAACTAGAGGTGTAGCAAAACACAATTTCAAGTTTCAGCACTAAAAATACTAAAATGTATTCACTTATTATTATTAAAAATTAAAATGAAATTGAGATGTCTATGAATGTATGTCTTAATGATTCTAATTCATTGTCATATGCTTTTACTGAGGACAAATAACAGTTAAATAGAAACATGTAAAATGTCAATTGATGAAGGACTAGAGGATGACCAACACAGACTGTGCCGCAACAAATGAGCTATTGTCTCTGACTTTACATCTACAAGGTGAACCAATAAGGTAGGAGTGTCCAGCAGAGGGTAAAGTAAGTGGACACAGTGTTCGAAAACTGCAGTAGCACTGCTGTGTCTGATACACTTATAACAGTGCAACACACACTACGTCAGTGTCACTGCAGTGCTGAGAATGCTCTACCACTCATATAATACCTGTTCTGTGGTGGTCCTGTGGGGGTCGTGACCATTGAAGAAAAGGATGAAAAAGTAGGCAGAGAAACAGATGGACTGCAGTCTGTAATTGTACGACCACAAAGTGCACCTATATGGTAAGTGTAGCTGATAAAATAGACAATGAGTGTAGATACAAGGAGGTGGTTTTAATGGTATAGCTGATCAGTGTATATAGACAGATTGGTTTATAAGTGACTTCAGAAAGAATTGTATAATTTGAGCCTGGGTGCATGAACAGCATAAGCCTTTCCCCTCTTCCTGCCTACTTCACTCTGGCAGGATGCACCCATCTGACAGGATGCACATGATGCCAGTGTTGATTATTGACTGTGGTTTCCACAAAAGACAGCAAATAACAGACAGCAACAGCAGCAAAGCTGTCAGCGTTTCATATTTCAGCACACTGTTTATTTTCCATGTTTTCAATGTGGTATTGAAATTGTCGTTAGTAATTATCCACTCAGTATAGTAGTATATCTATAAAAGTAGTAATAACTCGTCATTTTGTGTTTTGTCCATGTAGTTATTGAATAATAATTCTTAGGATGTGGGCATATGGGTTAATTGTAAAATGAATAAAGTTAAAAGTTAAAAATAAAGTTTTAAAATATTCTTTTACACAGGAACACTGTTAGTAGTTAAAAAATAATCTCTATACTTTTTCTAAAGCTGGCTGACGTTGTCAATGCAGAAATAAGGACTGTACAAAATTCCGCTGTGGGCCATGCTCTGTCATTGGGGGTGTAATTAGCACTATGTGAATATGCAGGGATGAGTACGTGGATGCTGAATAAACAGGCTGAGCTGCTCTGCTGCACCACAATTATGCAGTCTTGTAACCTGACACACACACACACACGCAGCAGGGGAACACTAGCTAGCCTGCACTATTAGCATTACACTTTCATTATGAGATCTGCCCGCTAGTCTACTCAGGCTGCTTAAAGAAAATGGGAGCTTAATGAGTGTATTATCTGCTCAAATTAAGAGAGTACAAGTTTTTATCGCTGAGTTTAAATCATTATCGTCTGTATGTTAATCAGGATGTTTAGGCTACTCATTACCCAGGAAATCTGTTTGGGGCAGGCAGAATCATTTCCACATTTCAGGAAGGAAATTTTGCATCAAAGCTTGCTGCGATACTGCTGCAGAAGAGCTGTCAAATCAAAAGAGATCAATAAGTTTATGAGGGTCAAGCTGATTCATAAATTATTCCTAACTTCTTCGCTGATATGCTACAGTAGCTGGTGGTGCTGTTCATTAGAGTTTTTTGTCTCTCTGCTCACATAGCCATCACATTCCATCTGTGCACGACAGTCTCAAGTCACTGCACGCACACACAAATACACACATTCGTCCTCTCTTATTTTATGACTCTCTCTCACACACAGACACAGCTTGAAATGTCAATTTTTCCATTTTGTTAAAGTTCCCATATCATCGAAAAATGACTTTTCCTTATTTGTTTAAATAACAGAGTTTGCAGTAATATGTAAACATTTTTAAAGTTTGAAACTGTACTATTCACTAACCGGTCCATATGGTGCATAGATAAAAACTAAGCTGCCAAAACAGCCCATTTTGAATTCACTGTTTCTGTGATGTCACAAGAACCAACTAATTTACATACATGCACCTATTTAGCCCACAGCAGTTTTGACCCAGCTGTTTTTGTTACAGTTAAAGACACAGTAACAAAAACGGCTTGTTTAAGTCCTAAGAGATAAAGAAAGGTTGGAAAAGGTCGTTTAAAAAATCTAGACTTAAAGGGAATTAAAGAATTAAAGGGCCTTATCCTACATTTGTTTTGTATTTTTTTTTCTCAAGGTCACCTTGTGAGGTTTATGTACTAAAAGCAGTCATAATTCATTTTTACATGACCATTTTCAGACTCTCTTTATCCCTTAGAACCGAACAGGCTGTATTTGCTACTGTGCCTTTAAGACTGGTATATGTAAATGATCCCATTCTGTTATATCCTTCAGAATAGGTTAGGAGTGACTGGGTAAAATTTCATGAATTCAGGTTTTCTAGAAGCTGAGATTTATTGTTTTGAATGTACAGAAAAGCTGATTTTGAGGAGAATTACTTTAAGAATGAGCTTGTACTAAACATGGTGAAATAAATGTATTTTTTTATGATTACAGTTCAAGAGAGGACATCTTATAGACTTTTTTAATAGGTAATTTTCCAAAAATCTGAAAAATGACTGGCAGTACCAAAACTGTTTTTTTGCCTGAAGTATAAAGAAGAATAAACCTGCAAAGGTTTTATTAACATCATATATTTCTCAACACTGAGCTTCATGTTCATCACAGTGTCTTTCTTGGTATGAAGAATAAGTTTTAGGGATGCACCGATTATGATTTTTTGTATGGCCGATTCTGATTTCCTTACAGAAAAATTGATACCTTTTTTTTAGCTCACACTGGGTGGGATGAATGAACACATAAAACACATAAGCACATTTCTAATACTTTCCATTAGTCAAAGTTGCAAGACAAATAACATTTTATTTGCTATTTAAAAGGCCAATCTGCCATTTTAAAATGTGAATATTTAAATTTTAATTACACTAAAGAGAAGATAATAGAATAAATACAGTCAAAAATAGATCTACATTGAAAGTAAGTGTTAACTGGCTATTTAGCACAATGAGTCATGTATAATTATGTTACAGCATTTTGGTTTCGGTGCAGCAGGCGTGTTCAAATATAGCGCAGTATTTACCTGCCTCATGTTATTTACGTCAACAAATTGCACAGTGCCAATTATGTGTGCAGCCAAATATGTGTGTGTGCCAAATTATTACCATACAATAACTACTGTAAAAAGCACTTTGGGTCTGAAAGTTGTTTAACACCTCAAAGGTCTGAGTGCTGATGAGCAATGACATCACAACAAAACGTGGAGTATGGCATGTGTGCCACTTTAATTATGCTATAGTTGCCTCTGACCAAAACTAATCTAAAAAAACTTGTTAAAAAGTTTCTTTAAATAGTCCTATATGGCACCTTCATAGAAATAAAGGACTACTATATAGAACCCTTTTTACTAAAACTCTACTGTCACAGTCACAAATATTTACATGAATAATATAGTTTTTATCAAAAGAGGGCTTAAAAAGCTTTAAGCTATTACATACATACTCATTTCTAATGAGCGAACTGCTTCCATACCAGAAAAGTATATTGCAATTTGCTATGGAAAAATAGCTGATACTTTCTCTCTCTCTTTCCTTCCTTTCTCAGCTACACTTCTTCTGTGCAAAGTATTGTCATTAACCACAAGCCACACAAAGCTGTACTCTGTCACGAAGCAAGAGTTTTACTATAGTGACTGTACCTCCAGCAGAGGCCGTGCTTTGCGCTGAACGCTGAACTGGAAGTGGCAGAGCTCGCAGAAGCTGGTGCTAGAGGCTGACAGCCAGTGCTCCAGGCAGCTGCGATGGATGGTGCCCAGAGTCCCAGCACACTCACATGGGGACAGCAGCTCCTCCTGCCCGCCGCCGTCGTGACAGATCCTGCACATGGGTCGCTCCACTAGAGGACTGGAGGGAAAAGAAGAGCAGACGCTTTACACTTCTGATGGTCTTGTGTGAAAAAATCTAATTGAAACACAAATATTAAATCAATAATTCAATAATTCAAACAATTTCCTCCTTATCACAAATGTAGTGAATCAGCCAAGACATGTTTGGTGTCTGAAGTTTGCTTCTTAGATTTAGAAGCTACAAGGCCAGTGTAGCTAACAAGCAATGGAAGCTTATAGCAATTAGCCAATTAGCATTATGCAAACTGTATGCCTAATCATTACATAATCAAACTGTGCTGAGGTGTTAAGTCATCTCAAATGGACTTGCTTATGTGTTTTCTGACACTGTAATCTATAAAAAGTTCAGACAATATTAGGCTTTAAAATGGCTACTAATTACTGTTTTCAGCTATGTGATGTACTTCTGTCCGTTTTTATAGATAACTGCATTCTACAGTGTCAAAATCCACAAATGGAACGCTGTTTGACGTTACTTAACATCTCAATGTGACTTAGGCATTCGGTTTGAACGATTATTTTTTTACAGTTACTTTTAAGCCCATATATTAGCTGTATTAGCCTTGTAGCTCCAGGACAAAACAAGAAGCACACTTAGACACCAAACATGTCTCGGCTGATTGACTACAATTAGGGTAATTTGATTTTTCTCTTTAAATGGTTTAGAGTTTATATTGTAACGCTGAAATGCTTTTTTAAAGGCCCCTATCTTAGATTTTTCTTGCACTTTATGTTTTTCCAAGACGTGCACTCATAACAATTGTGTGGTTATATGTATCAAAAACAACTGTAATTTATTTTACCAGACCAGTTTCTAAACCCTCTTTATGCCATGAAATTAAACATGTTTTTTTGTTATTTGTGCTTTAAGACTGGCATATGTAAATGAGCTCTGTTCTGACTGGCTGCTCTGTATTGTGCCCTGCTCAAAAAGCAATGCAAGCAATACCCTCCTTAAAACTGCAACATGAATGGGTGGAGCTAAATTGCTTTGGACTGGATAGGCAGATACATGTACATGTGTTGTTTTTTGTGACATCATAAAACAATAATAAAGACCTATTCATATATTTTTTAGATTCAGTAAGTTTACAGTTTATGCTAGTGTCTATTTTCTTGGTGTTGTAATAAAACTATGAATACCTATTTACATTTTTGGTTGTTATTGCTTTGGATGTATCATGTAAAGGAGATTGTGCTTTCATTTACTATATGCACGCTCATCTCCGATTAATCAATTTCCTATATGACATTTAATCTTCTTAGATTAGGTTTAGTTGTCAAGCTCAGTGTTTTGATAAACAGTGGGCATTTTAGAAAATATATCTGGAATGTCATCAACAACAGGACTGTTTGAAGATGACTACAGGGACCGATATTCTGTACCAAAGCAATGTTTCAAGACAAACTGAAATGAAAAAAAAAAACATTGTATGAGATACTGCAGTGCAAAACAAGATAATCCCCCTCCGGACTGAAACGATAAATCCGTGATTCACAAATCCTTCAGTATTACATACAAAAGGAATGCTGATTATTGTACGATTGTACGCTGATTGTACGCTGCTATTATATGAAAAAAAATCCAATTCAATATCTACAAAGAAATATTTGTTGTTAATGTTATCTTAAAAGGACAGAAACATTCCATGGGCAAATGTTACAAAGCTTAATGTTGAAAAGAAAAAATGGCAAAGATAAAAAATCTCATAGAATACTGTATTTATTACCCCAGCATGTGCCTAATGTTACTAATAACAGACTTTTTAATGGTAACCTGCTGTCTATTTCTCCTCTATGAGTTGAGATTAGCATTTGGGTAAGAGGAACCACTTCTTCACACATTTGAAAGGAGGTTAATGAAGGTTAAAAAAGTTCACAGAATCTTAATGGAGGTTTTCACCACCAGCTTGACCATAACTAGGTGACATGAGTTGGGCTGACCATTAGGAGCCTACAATTTTACTGTTGATTTCATAAAACTGGTAACACTTTATTTGAAGGCCACCTACACAAGTTCGTCATGACAGAATGCATAATGCACAAGCATACAACAATGTATTTTCAGCAATAATTCAGCATGCATGGACAGCATATGTTGAAAATTGCAAGGAGACAAGATGTTTTATGAAGTAACTGACATTGTACTCTATACACATAATACATAGGGGGGGCTTTTTCTAGTCACAGATACTTGTTCCATTTGGAGGCCTACATATAAATGCCATTTATCAGGTCTATGAAAGATGTCCTCAAACTAAACTGATACAGGAAAATTTACAGGAAAAAATGGGAGCATCTTTCATCTTTCAATTTCTTTCATAAAACTGATATATGTTTTTTTAAAAAGGCCTCGGCCTTATATGTTCCATTACTTGACAAGTATGCTTCGTAATAGTGTTACAAATGAAAATAATGTCCATAATTTTAGTTTAGGGGCCCTTATGTCAATATAATAACATTTACTTCATAAAACATCTTGTTATCTTGTGGCTACTGACATAACCTTTTCACAAATAATACTTGTATGAGTCATAAGGTCCATACTTAGGTAGCCTTCATGAAACCTGGAGGACGTGAAGAGCAACAGCTCACAGGTTCATTTACAAAAATAGAGACTGTGAACATGACATTTGAACAAAAGTAGGATTTTTTTTTTCTCCTTATGAGGGATTTTGGTTGATCATGTCCTGCTAAAAGTCAGTTTTCTAGAGAAGTGCAATGTCTTCGCCTCCTTTGTCACCACAATAGAACAGCAAATTAAGTTTTATTGCATGAATTTCACCAATTAAAATAAATGAAGCCTATCAATCCAATCGCTGTCATATTTACTGCTTATCTGTGACTTATAATTACAAAGTTACAGAATGACAAACATCTCAGCCCTGCCCACAGCTGCGGACAGACACAAGGGTGTGTCTGCTGACACCGAGTAGAGTTTGGAGGAGCGTCCGAGCGTTGGTGGAACTGGCCGCTGGCTCTTTCTCCGCACGAGCGCAGCTGTGGCAGCTGTCGCCGGCTAAAGCGCTCTTTTGTGAGGAGGAGACTGGCCTGGTCTTTGACACACAGAGCAGCCTCAAAGCTGTCACATACACGCTAATCAAAGCGCTAAATTTAGAGCTTGCACAGGGGCTTCCTAAGAGCTCACTTGTTGGGCTTCCACGGTCACACATTTCACAGCTTTGAATGCATAAATTGCCTGGAGCTAGATCTATACTAGAACAGTCTATTTTACTCAAAAGCAAAACCACAAGAGGTCATTTTCTTTCTAAAAAGAACAAATTAGCGAACTTGGTCAGCTTTTATCAATGAGAGTTCTTTAATAGAACTGCCTCAAATTTGCCCTCAGGGATAAAAAAAAGTGCATCCATGCACCCATTCATCCATCCATCCATCCATCCTTTCATCAGTCCCTCTATTTCACCATCCATCCATCCACCCAGCCATCCATCCATCCGTATATCCATCCATCTCTTGAGAAATTATAGGATATACTGTGCTTTAGGCTTAAAGATAAGGTGCCACAAAGGATTCTTTGGAGCGATGAATGAATACTATGAAAGAATCACTTTCGGTGCCAATTTACAATTTATGTAAATGATTTCACACTAAACCACTTTGGATGACTTTGTTTTAAAAATTACACTTATTACATTTATAGTACACATTTGCTTGGATTTCATGTTTCCAAGTGAGACTTATATGGCTTATATCCAATGTCAAAGACCTTATGGGCTGGCTTGCTATATATGGACTAGTCTTGGACAAAATTGCAATAGTTGCAATTCCAACAGTTTTCACCATTTCACCATGCATGCACTGCACTGTACCTCCAAAACAGCAAATTTTCAGAATAGGAGAAAACCACTCGCACTCACTATTTTACAGTGTTATAATTTACAGAACTTTTTGTGTTCTACTTCATACCTCTGTTTGGCAAATGCTACATTGTTCAAAAACGGTCCATCCTTTTGCTTGCAGTACTGCGGCTCCTCATTCGCTGGACTGGTGTCAGGGTCCATTGCTTTTCCTGGTAGGGCGGGATCAGAGCAATCCAGACTCCCGATTGGAGCAGAGTCCTGTCCATCAGAGCTCCTCAAAAGTGTTGTGTCCGAGCAATCCATCAACACTTCAGGTAACTGATTGCAGCAGCTGGTTGTCATGGCAGCAGACGGATGATGTTGGGTGTGCTTATAGGGCATTTCCCATCTGGATCAAAGAGGAGATGTGAGACATGATAGGGGTCATGCACAGTAGGAGGACAGCTTTGAATGGCGGCTTTCTACTGCACTAAAATAGTTAAGATTTACTGGTTTGGCTGACATTACATACTGGAAGAAAACATATTGTATGGTTGATCTCACATCTATTTATAGTTTGCTAACAGAGGCAGACATGTCACACAGACACAGAAGACATACAAAGTTCAATATTCACTATTGCACAGATATATTTCAGGGTTGATTACATTTTAGATTTTAATGCAACTGGGATATTGACAGCATTAAAGAATAAATCAGTAAACAAAAACAAAACTGACAGGTCATCAAACAGATTTCCTTGTTTTAGCACTTGCATACAAAAGCAAGTCAAAAGCCTGAATTGGTCTACAGATAACAGTATGTCCTACTATGTCATACGGTTCACACAATGCTAACTGCTGTTATGAGCATTATGCTAATTGCTGTTATGAGCCTCCCTTATTTTAGCTACAGCAGTCTCACAGCTCTAGTGCAAAACAGGAAGAGCTGCCACCATAACTTAAACTATATGCCCAAAGGTTTGTAAACATCTGCACCTCTTTATTAATATTAAAATTAGCATTAACAGCAACTTTGTCCTTTTGTTTCAGTAACAGCCTCTACATTTCTGAGAAAGCTTTCCACTAGATGTTGGAAAATTGCTGGGAGGGTTTGATTGCATTCAGCCACAAGAGCATTAGTGAGGTCAGGTAGTCATGTTGATTAGTTCTGGATCACAAACGCCACTCCGGCTCATCCGATCAAAAGATATTGGATGGAGCTCCATCACTCCCAGCCCAGTGCTGGGGGGTTTTATGCCCCTCCAGCTAAACTGTCTTTGGGTATGGTGCCTTTAGGCTCATGTGCAGCCACGCCTCCCATTCAAATGGCAATGCTTTTCTATGAAGATTTTACAAGCTGTAAGTGCACAACTGAATGCCTGTGTCAGCAATAAGTAGGTGACCTTAAAATAGGTGAATTTACTAATTAGAAGAATCAGGTATGCTTGGATATACAGTCAAAGGAAAATTTTGGGCACTCCTGGTCATATGAAATGTGGTGTTTTTCTAAGGGAAAATAAGTACACATTCTCTATACACAACACCTCTGCACATTTTAATGCACAATTACTTTTTTATTTGCTGAATTTATTAGGAAAACGTGTCTAGTGTTTCCAGTATCAGTGAAGTCAGCAAATAAATAGAAACTGTGGAGAGACATAGCGTTTTTAAGTTCGTTTACTATGGAGGACGTGTTAACTTATTTTCACTTCAACAACAAACATAAATGGTATTTAATAGAGACTATCTAATTTTTCGCAGGGGATTTCATTTTTACTCATGCTTTTCTACTGTTTTTCCTTTTGCCATTTCACTTCACATCACTGAGTGTACATGTTTCTGAGTCCCTGCTTGGCTCTAAGTCAGGGTGACACTGCCCATCCCTTGGCTGTAGTCAAAATGGCCACAAGGACATAAAACCCAAATGCATGGGTTCAGCTGACAGTAGAGTTGAAACAGACACTTATGACTATTTTTTCCAGCACTGGAACCATTACATTCAGTTAACAGTTTCACTACAGGAACCAACCTTTTGGAATTAGAAAGACCATTCCTGTTTCCTCTTCAGGCCTCAGGATGACATCTGAGCAACACTCAAAAACCAGTACATTTATTTTCACCCAGAATGCAGCTAATCAACAGGTCTCCAAGTAAGACACTAAATAAATGAGGGATCACAATGTTTCCGTTGTGGTCAGTCCACTGACAATGTCTCTATTGTGACCACACTTGTTCATGGAGGGAAAAAGACATCTCCTTTAACTTCCCCAGGCGGGGTAGGGATGAGGTCAGCAGTGAGTCAGTGAGCTGCACTGTTGTGAGCTCACAGTGCAAAACAGAAGCTCAGTGCTAACCCTGTGCTTTGCTCCGATTCTCCCCACCATGCACACAGAAGATACCACACAGAGCCGTCTTTCAGCTCAGTGAATAATAGGGTGGCTAATATTCCAACACCAAAACTGACATCAGTACTTTTAAAAGTATTTGTGTGTATTTAAAAGAGTAAATCTTTGTGATGCATACAGTGAAAATTGGTAAAGGCAGACATCAATAAACTCTTTGCATCACAATTAACTGAAGTGTCCAAACCTATATGCAAATGTTTGGGTGCTTCTGGCCAAATTTTGTTAATTTTTCAAGTAAAAAATATCCTCTACAGGAAACACACTTATGTGTGGAAACATAAAATGTAGCATATTTTTGAGCATATTTATGTTTCATGTTTTATTTTTCCAATATGTTAAACTTAAATTGAGCACTAAAAATGCAGAAAGAAAAATGCCATAGTGTAGAGGATATGTTAACTTATTTCACTTACAAAATCAACAAAACATAATGTGCCTGAAAGCTTTTGCATATAACAGTATGTGTTTATTCATCAGGGTATTATTGTAGTATTGAGCTCCTTAAGAGATCACAGTTATTAAATGATAAAGATAGTGCCATAGACTTCAATAATGCCTATGTGCACATCCTCCCCTCCCTTCTCTATTTTCCCCTCTGCTCCTTAATTTTTCCCCCTTCTATTTAGCATCAAATCATCACTGTTGTAAGAAAACCTTATACCTTCAAAAGAACAACTTTCTTTCTTTCCTTAACTTCAACTTTTTTTTTTTTTTTTTTACCCAATTATCTCCCCAATTTTGTCGTTTCCAATTCCACCCGCTAGTTAGGACTCCCCCAATCACACGATGCTATCAACGCTAGGAGGGTGAAGGCTAACACAGGCTTCCTCCGAGACCTGTGAAACCAACCACCGCTTCTTTTCGAACTGCCGCTCACGCAACGTCACTGGACAGCTGAACGCGCTCGGAGGAAAGCGCCAACCGCCAGATCTGTTACGTCAGCTAACAGACGCCTGCGCTGAGTGATGGGGGGAGAGGAAGGGGCCATCCTACCCACTTGGTCTATTGGTGTATTCATCATATAATGTACTTTCAAAATTGTGTAAAAATACATGTACTTTATTTTAATACTGCTGTTGGTAATTTACAGAAATAGAATGTAAATTCACAAAAACGTTTGTGTGTGTTTATTTTAATGGTTGATACTGTTATTATTATGTTAAAATACTATGTGTCAAATAACTAGTTGAACTAGTGAAACTGTTGAATTACAGTATTTCTATGAAACTAATTTTACTGTTTTTTACCCTTATTGAGAAAATACATTTTTAAATATTTAATTTACTGTTAATTAGCAGTTTTTTTCTCTAGCACTGCTACACCTATTTTCATTTACAGCTTTACAGTGGAAAACCTGCTGCATACGATTCTTTAAAGCACCTTTTAAAAATGATTTTGTGTAGAACCAAAAAGGGTTTCACTAACGTTTCTTGTCAAAGAACAATGGATATGTGCACATAGAACCACTTTTGTTATGAGTGTAGGTAGTATTGATACTTCAGTATTGTTTTACCCCTTCCTAGTGAGGATGTCCCAATTCCTTTTTAATGATGAACTCCAGCATGCCAAGACAAGGTCTCTTTCAGTAATATAGTGTCTGTTTCACAATACCCAAGGCCGGGTTGGGTGCCGGTAAAAATAACAGAGTCAGAGCTGGGGGGAAGCAGGATTGTCACAAGGACAGGAAAGAGCTGTCACTCAGCAGCGCATGACTGTATACACAGCAGGTGGAGCCTTCCTGACAAACTGCTGTACAATGGAACGTGTTCCACTGCAACTCGTACACAGTATAGGAGTCAAAAACTATCAAGTCTCTATTCTAGATCTTGCAGTGTAATGAATGAGAATAGAACGAGTTGTTTATCTGTGAGCAGCAGCTGTCAGTGGCATGTGAACGTGCTTCCTCTAGCCCACCCTGCGTTACTGCTGATAGGGTCCAGTTGGCACACCATCTAAACAAATTGATTGTAAAACCTGGAGAATGTGTTAAAACCAGACAGCTAGGGCTTTAACATGTAGTGACAGGAGCTGATATTAACAGACATGAAGTTAACAATACTTACACCCATCATGTTCTCATATCTTAAGTTCAACTTCGTAAGAATAATATAACACACATACACACACACACACACACACACACACACACATGTATATATATATATATATATATGTGTGTGTGTGTGTGTGTGTGTGTGTGTGAATTTCATGATAAGTGGACCAAAAGAAATGCCCCAAAATGTGTTTGATTACATTGACTTTAAAAGTAAATTATGTTTTTTCCTTCTCCTGTAAAGTTATTATTATGGAGATCAGTTCGTTCCGACAGCAGTGATAGAAATAATTGCAACAGCTTACATCAGTAATTGATTATATGAAATGTTTTATGAAATAAATGACATTGTATTGACATCAAGGCCCTTAAACCAAAGTGATGAACATGTGTTCTGTTGCAACAATGTTATGAAGGATTACTATTAAAGGACAGAGGCCTAGTTAAGGGCACCGTATATCAGTTCTACATATTTTAACTTCAGTACAGTTTCTATTAAGGAAAGCTGTGTAGCTAAACTAATGAATAGCTAACTCTATTTTACACACCTTTAGCCTCATAATAGAATTGTTCACTAAAATAATGAATATATAAATCTATACTAAGTCAAAATACTTACTTTTAATGTTTAGGTGAATTTAAAAGCAAATCATTTTGTGCCTTACAAGCTCTATTAGTTAGGAATGATGCTTCATAACAGTTATAAATAGAACAAAGATCGGACACAAGCTTAAAGCCCCTTATATCAATACAACGTCATTTAAATCATACAAATTTTTGCTATTTTGCTAATACTGACATAAACTGTACATACACACTCAAGTATGTAATTCAATGCTAATGCATGTATAATTAAGTTCCCATACAGGTACACTTCAAATAAAGTGTTATACAAAACTTACACTGAACTTCCTGTCCCTAATGTTTTCATACCTATATTTGGTGACAA